TTTTCTTCCAAAGAAAGATGATCTGTTTCTTGGTCTCACTCTTTATGTTGGTGTTCATTCAGTGTAGGGATTTTGCTGTGACCAGAGAGTCATGCATGACAGAGCGGCAGAATAGTAGGTCTGTTGAATTCATATAGATAAAAGGTTTTATTTTGTAGGTCTAATGTTTGCAGTACTCATGATGTGGCACTTAAGGTTAGTAGTAAACGACATGCACATTTTTCTTCAGTAGCTTGATATGAATTTGGGAACCGAAATACAGTTATAGAAGTAACTGCTTCTGTATTTGTATGCTTCCATGTTATTGGATATAATTTGCATTTCTTTTCAAATCATTACTGGATTGATTTTTTTCTTGACGTGAGAATTCTGTGAACTGTTTGTATATGTGCTTTGATCTTCTGGTTAAGAATGGGTTCTTGTACTTGCAACCAAGTTCATATTTGGTCTTTCTTTCTCCCACTTTTGCCTTAGCTTGAGAGGGAGGGTAGACAGGGAAGAGGTGGAGACCCAAACACCTCACTCCCATATGGTGGGCAGAAGCCCACCAAATGAGTTTTGATAAATGTATTAAAACACAAACATCTTTTTGCTAGCGTATTTGCTTGAGTGTTGAGTTTTATGAATGGGAGCAGACCTAAATACCATCTTAAAACATACTGCGGACAGTGCTGACGTTCCTTTTTTCCATCTGGTATAAAAGGGAAGCTGCAAACAATGGCAACCACGCCTTTGTCCTCCTGCTTTTCCATTCTTTGTCTGCATAATATAGAGCTAAAATAATTGCCAATTTTGGCTTTAGCTTTTCTGGTCAAAATTGTCCTCTTTTTGCCATCTGTTCCACAGTTTTACCACTGCCCTAAAGCTGCACTTTTTGATACATGTGATCACGTAGAAAGTCATGAACATATTGTAGCAAAGTCCATTTCTTATAGTTTTAGCTAAAAGTAAAATAAATCAAATCCTGGAAAATGAAAACAGGGATTTTTCGTTTGTTGGAATAAAGATGTTCTAAAGTGTGGTTTCCGAAAGAAGGGAGGTTTACAGGATTGAGCCATTTATCCATCTGCTTTTCAGTTCATCCTTAATAACTTTTGAACAATTTCATCCAGATTTCATGGAATAAAGGTCTCAAAGGTAATTGGTTTCCTACAAGAAAACTGGAGGCTGGACGGAGGAGAGAGGCAAAAATAGGTGTCCCCACTGTTTGCAGTATAAGTTTAACAATAATCTGTGTTTAGTCTTTTGCTAGCCAAGTTGCAAGTGTGTACTGGCTGCCTAGGTACTCCAGTAATCTCAGAGTTTCCAGAATGTCTGAGTCTTGCTTAGGCAGAAGCTCGGGGCCATGAAAGGGAGACAAAGGCATAGGGAATGTTGCTGGGGAACTGCAAATTTTAGACAAAGGATTAAATCGATGGAAATTTGGGCTACTGGAACTATCAGTAGTTTTATGATTGATGGACCAACTTGCTTTCAGATTCCATACAGTACTACTGCAATTACTTGATCTCTGACTTCACAGAGATTTGTCTGTCAAGGGTGCATCTGTGGTGTTTGCCTGGCTGTGAAATAATCAAAATGTAAGAAAGCATTTACATTGTGCTCAGAGAAACTCAGCATTCTGGAGTCAGGCTGTTACTTTGGCAAATGTTTTATTCACTCAAAATGCTGTTTTGAGCTAGACAGAACAAGCTGTGAATTTAGATGGAATTAACTCAGTAGTTTCCACCAGAAAAAAAACAATGGAGAAGAATGCTGGAAAATACATTCCCATAATATTTTATTTTTCCAGGCTCAAGTCATTAGTTGAATGAGCACTTCTAACAAAATCAGGATGGGAAATGTAGGGAGGGTGACTCCTACAATGGGGGTTTATTTGCCTGGAATATAGGAGCCCTGCATTTGCAACACTTTCTGCAGAAACTTGAATGTGTAAAACCAAATTCATTATGTGTATCATATACAAGATCTCTTCCTATCTCTTGCATATGACAAAAGTAGGGTACTGGACTTTTTATCGTATATACATTTGGTAAAACATTCATATTCTTGCATCCGTGTTGACTGTGGGAAGGAACCACCACCTGGAATTGTTCATTGCCTGTGTCTCTGTTTTTCATTGGTTTCTTTTGTCCTGGGCAAGCGCTGGAGATCCTGAGCGTACTTGCAGTCATGAGTCAGTGACAACCCCATGCTATTATTGTAAATAGCAACATGAACACTGTTCTTGCATGCATTTTTTCATGGGCTTTGTCTTTCTACCCCAGTGCTCCAGCCAAGGAATTTACAGAGCTTCTGAGTCAGCAATCAGCTGCCTCGAGACAAAGCGTGCAGGATACTGCAGACTTGCAGAATAGCCGACGAGGCATACAAATACCCTGGAAACCTGGCAAATAATTCTTGCCTGCCCTTGCTTTCTTCCTGTAATTTCCATGTTCTCTGACGTGTTGCTTGCGAGTTCCAAGGGCTTTGGGTGTTTACATCAAGAATGTAGAGTTCTGGGGAGTGACTTATTGCGGTGACTGAAGCCTCTGTATTTGACCTGTGGGCATAACTGACTTTGCAGCCTGCATGAAGTGGGATGTTGACAGAACTGCTGAATTGACGTGCCACTGAGGTTGCGCTACGTAAAATGACCTGCTTTTGCAGGTTTGTCTCCTGGCTTGGCAAACCCTGAACATAAAGCAGTAAGTTCCTAGAATGAAAGTAGATTTGATTTTGATTTTGAGATCTGAGCAGTGCAGGATCAGTACCGCTTTACTCCTTTGGTGAAAAAGTACAATAGAAGCGAGAGTAAGAAATGGAACCTATGTTGTCCTTACATCTGGATATATCAGTAATGAGCTGTGGACTAACAGGCTTAAATTGCCACCCCACTTAATTTAGGTCATATACCTTCTATTGCTTTTTCTTAAGATGTGTCAGTCACCTGAAGTGCTGGTGTAAAGTGAGCATTTGGGTGGTAGAGTGGGGTGCAAGAGGTGAGGAAAACATAACACAAAATAGTATTCAACTTGTGCTGATTAATGAGGCATATTACTTTACACTGTAGATATTTATTTGTGTCTGTATTACACAGACACACTGAAATTACTCCTTCAGTGAAAGAGGTGATTTGAACTCTTTATAACATTCTTCTCGAGAAGAGGAGACACAAGCTTAAAGCACAGTGTCTTAGACCTCTGCCGTAGTGCAGTGGTTACCCTGAGGTACAAGCCTGGAGCATATTTCCAGCTTCACAACAGTGAATTTAAGATTAAAAATAAGGAAAGCAGTTAGTTCCATCCTGCTTAGTGAGCAGTACTGATATGGATGTGGCATCACTATCAGCCAGTTAGAAAAGCAGCTTCATGTGTATTGAGCCCTCTAAGGCAGTTGTCATAATAAAGGCAGAATCACATTCTCCAGTACCCATTGTTGTACTGTGGCTTCTGTAGGAAATTTTATTTTTCTTTTTAATAGCAAACAGTCTGTGGCTGTACGGAAAAGCTTCCAGGTCTCCATTGATATTTCCAAATGTAATCAATAAATACCATGTTAGGGTGAAATGCAGGAGTGCCCAAATAAGGTGCTGCAGAGCTGTCATACGGGAGGGGAAGAGACATGAGCTGTAATGTTTGACTTGGCTTCCTGTCTGCTGGAAGCAGGAAAAGAGCTGGTGAGAATCTAAAAGGTTTTATCCGAGTCCCCATATTTCCTTTTTTACCTTAATACCCTTTGCTAAAAAACAAAGGACCAAAAGCACCTCAGAAATGCTTTCATTTCCATAGTTCCCATGCTGCCCTCCTCTCTGAAGACAAATAGAACTATTATTTCTTAGAGTGCAGATTAATCTATTATATATCTATGTACTCAGTATTATGTATAAAAGGAAGAAAGAGATTTATTACATATATAAAGAAGGGAGAGACAGAAAATATCTATTCTTCAAACAAAATTTGCTATTTGTGATCCAAACAATTCATTGTGTAGGTTTGCAGGCTGCTTCTGAGGGATTCCAGAAAAGCAACTAAGAGCGGCAGACCTCCTGTTAGCATATTTATCTGCTGAGGACCCCAACTACCAGCTAAAATGTTGTAGGGACCTGCATATCAAAAAAATTTGAAAACCACAGAATGGAGGAACTACTATGAGAATCCCACGAGGATCATGCATCAGCCACATTTCACTGTTACGCTGCTTACTTACCGACAGGAATATATGCATAGACTCTGTGTAAGGCGCATGTTTATAGTGCTTGATGCAACACAGACAGGTATTATTTTTTTCAGTCTTGAAATCTTTTCTTAAGCATTTGATTGCTGTTAGCAGGTTTCACTTCCTTCTAGGATTTCAGTAGCCATCACTGGGTTTGTTATGTCACTGTACAAAAGCAGTGTTTGCAAGGACTCCGACAGAGATATTAGCTTGTGCTATGCCATTGTCTTTCCCATTCTCTATTTATCATGAGCAAAGACACATGTCCTTTTAGAAAGAAGGAACTAAAACTTATTTTACTGGTGGAATACCAACTCCTGAAGTACTTTGTGGTAGTAATATTTTTAAGAACAGCATGTAACCATTGCTGTGGTGTTACCACAGTGATCTGGTTATCACAGTGACTGCAACATTAGTAAGTCTGTATCTTTTGTTTTTAAACCTCTGTCTACTTCCAAGCATCACATAACATCTGCCAGTTTACTTGGAACTTCTCTGCTGTTCATGTGAAATGAGTTTTGGTAAAACTTTCTATCAACTGGCTCACGTTAAAGTATTTTGTGATTTAACAGAGGTGAGATACCCCACTGTTTGCAGTGAGGCTCACTGAGCTTTGGAAGTCTCTGCTTCAGTCAGCTTGGGCAGGAATCTTCAGGATATTGATCAGTTCACTTACTCAGGATTGATGTATTATTAGTTTCTGAGAATCTGGGCTCTCAGTTCAGCAGTCTTAGACAAAATTTTGGAAAGAAAAGAAAAAAAAAGAACACGCTCAGTTACATTTTCTTCTTTTTATTTTACAGGTTAATGATGCTTGTAAGCCAGAGGTGAAAGTGGCTCAGCAGAGCAACATCAGGAAATCTGGCAGACTGGAAGAGAACAGCTGCCCCCCAGGGCAGCTGTGAAGTGTGAAGCATGGAGGAAAGTAAGAATGAGAAGGTGAACCAGGCTCATGTTCTCTTTGACAGATTTGTCCAGGCTTCTACCTGCAAGGGGACTCTCAAGGCTTTCCAAGAGCTCTGTGACTATCTAGAACTAAAGCCCAAGGATTATCGTTCTTTCTATCACAAACTCAAGTCCAAGCTCAATTACTGGAAAGCCAAAGCCTTGTGGGCCAAATTGGATAAAAGAGGCAGCCATAAGGACTATAAGAAGGGGAAAGCATGCGCCAACACGAAGGTAAGAGATCTATTCATGGTGGTCAAGACAACTATTACCCACTTTGTCTCTCAAATACACAATAAAAATGTCAGGATGTAGAAAGATGTTTGCCTGGTGTCAGTATAAGCCCAGGGAAGATTCAGGAATGTTCTCAAATGTACTCTTTATTATATAGTTGCAATTTGCTAACATTTGAATCTCAATCAAAAATTGTGTTTGCTGTTACCAAATTTGACTGCCCACCTGAACGGGGAAGCTAAATGGAAATCCTTAGGAATGACCAGAATATTTGTAATCTATTCAGGAGAAACAGACTGCAAGTTTCTATGTTTCACATTTTAGTGGCATCAGTACTATAGATGGCTTAGAAAATCTTGATTGGTAAACCTTTAATCTTGGTAGACTTCTATTTTTTTACTAGACAATAACAGGGAGTGAAATTTGCTGTTGGAGTTTAGATACAAAATATGTTTGTAATTTTCCAATTTTAATTTGAAAGTTCTCACGACTCTCAAGAAAAGTGAACTTTCATGCCAATTTGGCAAAATATTTTATTTACCATTATTTAGAAAGTAATCACTTATGTTCCAGGTTCAGTGGGGAGAAAAAAAAAAAAAAGCTGTGAAAACTAGTAACAGTTGCTTTTGGAAGTTTGGTATGTGTGGTATTTACTGCAGGAATTCCTGCTTTTACATCCCCCCCCCCCCCCCCCCCCAATTTTTTTTACCTGAATTGTTGTCATCTGGTATTTATGTGCTGCACCCTTGTTGGACTATACAGTATGAGTTTATTTATTTGTTTTGCAGTTACTGGAAACAGTTCTTTATATCATTCAACAAAATGTGAATGAAATAGGTTGTTTTTGTAAATAATCATACACTCTTTTAAAAAAGGAAGATAGTGCAGAATGTGATAAAATTAGAACAGGATTCTTTCCTCCTTCATTGAGGACAATAGATGATGCTTCTTGGATGTTTACCTTTGAGAGAAGGAAATACCTTAATAGGAGGAATTAATGACTAATTTCTCAATAGAGAAATATATCCTGTTTAGGATATGTCAGTCATTTCAGATCAGTGGATTGAAGTTTCATTCCCAACTAGATATTAGAAAGTTATGTTAATTTCTTGATTGTTTATTCTGTTTCACTTTCCAGTGGCCATTTTCATATGGATGGTGGCATTTATAGTTAATTAATACAGTAATATATGGGAAAATTACTAATGAACTAAGGTGCACTTGTCCTTGGTCTTCTAAAGATAATGCTTTCCTCAGAAAGTTTACAATTGGTACATCAGATGATAGATAATGGGTGCTTATAGATTAACTTGGAAAATATAAAACAATTGGCCACTGTTGGTAATCACAGTGGGCAGTAGCTTCTACACCCCAAAAGTCCAACCACTGTTAAGGTTTACATTTTTCAGGCAGCATTTAAAGGAAGGAGTTACAGGAAAATAACTGTGATTTTTGTGCATATTTAGAAATAAGCCTTCCAAGTACTATGGTCATCATGGAGAAAAATTCAAAATAATTTTTCTGAAAACTCAACTGCACTTTGCATTAATAGGATTCAGGAATTGCTCTTATTTTGAATGAAACATGATGAGTGCAGCTGAAATGGGGTGTTAAAGGCTGTGAAATGAAGACAGGTGGCTTATGTTTTAATGAGAAAGAGATTGAAGAAGCTGTGGAAGAATGTAGAACATCTCTGAAGTAATAAACTAAAAGTGTTTTTACATTTAGACTTTGAAATGTATCTTAGTGGGCATTTGTTAGCGCTGTATTTGTTAACGCTGAAGAGAAGGTTGCTTCAATGACAGAAGTGCAACATGAAAGAAGAAATTTAATGGGATAAGTGTATGACTTGGGTAGTGCTTGATTATGAGGACATACAAAAAAGTAGAGATGAGTGGAGTTGACATCCAGTTATGAAAGACATTCAGAAAATTGATTGTGGCACTCGTCTAGAAAGGGAGTGGTGAAGTGAGTTTAGAAGGATGTTAGAACTCCATTTTATCATGTTGGACTTGAACTGACAACTAGGCAGCCATGAGGAGATGTCAGAAAGGTAGAGATTTTAGCGTGGACAAAAAGTAGTTGACTCTGAGTTGGAAAAATTCTGTGAATCTACCGCACGGACAAGCCGATTGAACCAGTGCCTTTGAATGAGGTGATGTAAAGGCAAATTGTAGAGGAAGATGATAGACGACAGGTGAAGCCCTGTGGGAAGCTGTTGATGAGAAGAGTGGGAGAAATGAGGGAAGTCCTTCAGATGGTGCTCTGAAAGAGGAGCGCTGGGTCTTAAAAGAAATTGGAAAAGACAACAAACTTTGAAGAAATATCCAACTGTCTATAAAACATCTCTTCAAGTGCAGTTGAAAAGCAAGTAGAAGGAGTAAAACATACTGGGAGTAATGTTTGACTAAAGAATTTGCTAGAGATTTTTGTATAGTCCAAAAGCTAAGTCTATTTTGTGTACCAAAGCCAAGCTAGAGAGAGTGTAGGATGGAGTTAGAGAAGCGGGATCAAGAGAGTGATTGTAGAAGTGGCATGTGGTGATCTTGGAGATGAGATGGTGGTGAGAGAAACAGAGACAAGCACAGGGTCATGCGTGATGCTCCCTCATTTAACGATGAGAGAGAAACCTCAGAACTTGCTGGTGTTGGTGTGAAGGACCAGAGGGGTGGGAGGGGGGAATGATTGCAGAGTACGTGTTGGTGATCACGCCGAATTGGTCTCTACTAGAGGAATCGGAGGGCTTATTCCATAGTTGCTCTCCTGTGTGGGTGACAAGGAAGAGAGCAAAGGAAAAGAGTAAGAGGAGTGGAGGCAAGCCAGAGAGTAATTTGCTAGTCTTTCTAAGAATTTGTTGGTGAGATGCTATATAGAAACACAAGTAAAAAGGATGAATGGTGAATAAATTAAAGGTGACCCAACACAGAAACATATAGAGCTGTGGATTTGGGATTCATACCATTCTGAGTAGTGAAATTAGTAGCTGAGAGAAAGTGAAATGTAGTAAATTTTTTTTTGTTGTTATAATGTCTTAAAGACTATATACTTGTGAAGATAAATTATTTTGGTATGCCTTTACATATAAACTTAGTTGAAATTTTTAATGTAAAGAAATTATGAATTGTTTTTGCATTTTTCATATGTTTCTGTTAAGTACTGTTTCCAATTCTAAAAATATCTGCCATTAAATGTTTATATGTAATTCCTGAGAGATAATAATAGCTAATCAGAATAGAGGCTTTTTGAGAACTGAATCATATCTAATTTGATGTTTCCTATCTCAGTTTTATATTCTTAATGTTTAATGTAATGTGCAAACCACTGATTAAAAAATACAGACATTTAAGTGGGCATGTGGAGACGATAGAATTTAAAATAAAGATTAGGGGTTTACCCATGTTATCAGAAGTCAGTCATTTCTTTAGGAAGCTCAGCTTCTATACACTTGAACATATACCAGTTTTGAAGTCCTTATCCTCTGTAGCATAGCTGTTACTTGCCCATTTAAAAATTGGTTGGGGATGAAATGCTGTGACTGGAGTCAGGCAATTAGTGTATCACCTGGCCAATGTCCAGGTTAACCAGAATTCAGATAATCAGTGCTCATGAAAGCAAGACTTGGATGTGATGGGTTGTTCAAATGTAAATAGTTACAAATAGTGCTCTCTCTTCATTGGTTATTCCGAGAATACAGGATTTCAGTTTGCATTTAATGTTCCATTACCATGGTGTTGTTACTGAAAACTTAATATAATCTGTCTGAAAGATCTTGAGCAAGAAGCGTTTCTGAGGGGTGAGACAGCTTTAGTGCATGGAGTTGCCTCAGTGGCTTGGGGTCACAGGGGGGGGAAAGGGAACAAGGGGCAAAACAAGAGTCTTTATTTACTTGCCTGTACTTGGTATCTCATGAAGTTACTGCTGTATGTGAGAGTATCAGAAGGTGGGTTTGTACAAGAGATCTGAAACTGGAAGAAGTGTTAGAAGTGGAAAAGGGAGCAGAATCTTTTCTTCTGTTTTTAATTGTGCTTAAAACTCTGTGTTTTATAACAACATAATTTTGTATTTTTGTGATGGTAAAAACATGGCAACTTTGACCATGAATTACTTCACTATCATCCAGAACATCAGGAGTCTTAAACATAACCTAGGTTGTTAACCACATTCTTCTTTGGGGCCGGGGGGAAGGTTGTAGGAAAAAAAACTTTTTACATTTCTGTGTCAAAATTACTGGCAATTAGTTTATAATTTGATTACATAGACTGAGTTTGAATAGTCTGATTTTAGTACAATTCCTTTGCTGTTGTGTACTCTATCGTAACTATTTTATGTGGGGAAAGTTATTGAAGAATAAAAGTCACCCAACTCAGCGTGGTCTTGTTGCTTATTGAATCCAGTCTCTTTGAAGATTGTAGTTGCCAGATGAGCAAAATTATTACCTGGACAAATATGATATGCTCATCTAATTTTCTTAAAAGTTTAAAAAAACCCCAAAACTAAATGGTGTTTGAGAGTTATACTTACCTATAAAGAAAACAATATTAAATTGGAATAATACATTAGATCCTAATTGATTATCCCTCTTAACAAATGACAAGTTAGACACCTGGTCAGTATACAAGTCTATTTAGGAATTCAATAGCTCAGTGGTTGGGATTTCGTTTTCTCCCATTTGCCTTCACGTTCCTGAAGCTACTAAAGGAGCAGTGCCTGATATTAGTCACTTTCCTCTAGACTTGGATCTCTGCTGTCAGATTTATGCAACTTCTTATCTTATACAGTAGTCCCACTTTGAATTTGTATTTCAGTTGTTATGTCATCACTGCTGTAACTTCCGCTGTTTTATCCATCATTCAGGCTTTATAAATAAGTTTCACATTATTTGCAGAATTTATGCCCCAGTGAATAACTGGTGAAAGTGTGGCAACCTCTGAAAATTGACATATGGGGATGACCAATGAACAAAGAGCTTTCCTTTGGGGTAGACTGTTCATCAGAAAGTTGGGATCTGATTAAGTTCTAGCATACTTAAGAATTTCTCAGAGAGCTTTGTTGTCCACCCATGAGGGTATGTAAGGATCTGGAAAATATTCACATGGCAGCAGAAGTCACCACTGTAGCAAGGTCTTTATTCTGTGGGTCTGGTTTATACTCAATAGAAATCAAAGTGCAAAAATGATATGACAAAATGGACTGTGTACTATATTCCTGTGAATACACGTACCCATGCCAGCTTTCTTTGTGGACCTCTCTTTCTGTGGATAAGAAGTGTCATCTGACTATCTTGGCTGTTTAATCTTAAAAGAAACAATGTTGCTGTATCATTTGTTTCTCAGAAAGTACTTCCAACACTATATATGTGAGTATTTTACCTTCTCAAGTTGTTTATTAGCCTCTGATAGTGTTTGTGAGTAGAGTGGAAGAAGATATGAGAAGATCAAAAACCTTTGATATGACAAAGGTTAAGTTGGAGAAAACATATTTTGATAAAAGTTGTCTAGTCACACAAAGTTTGTGTTTCTGTTTACATCATATTTACTTTCCTGAAGTTTTCTTTGCAGCAATAGTAGACACACCAGCATAGGCGTAAGTTAGAATGCTCAGACTTGGCTGCTATCTGTGTTACTCTAAATGATGATGTTGATAAAAATGTTAGCATCTCATCGGTAGCCATTGCTATGCTACTCAGCGATGATGATGAATTTTTAACATTACTGAAGATTTTCTCAAGAAAGGCTAGCTCAGGCTTTGGAAGATGAGAGGAAAACTTGCCTTCAATTTTTTTTTTTGAGGGGGGTGTTGTTTTTTTGTGTGTTTTTTTTTTTTTTTTTTTTTTTTTTTTTGTTGGTATGAAAAGCAAAAATTCAGTGGATGGAATGGGGGAGGGAGAAGCCTTCAGACACATTGCTGTTCTCCAGGTGCTTACGTAGATAGCTTGGAGAGTACACCTTGGCAATGCTTCTTAAAACAAGGGTTGCAAACAGACAGTTTACTTGCCTGCTTCTCCAAATTTTGAATTGCTCTGTGATATGCTTTATTTTCAGGTTACGGTTACTGCTTTAACCTATCAATGGCAGAATATGGCAGGTAACAACAGAAAGACTGATCTGAGGTCTCAGTTTATGTTGCAGACAAAGAGCACTTACTCCTGAGAGCTGTGGGACGCTTGGAAGTGATGGTAAAAATAACTATTTCCTCCTAGGACTGTGAAGTTACTCTCCCTGTGCTGTTTGTTTTTCAGTGTCTGATAATTGGGGCTGGACCCTGTGGCCTTCGTACAGCCATCGACCTGTCATTCCTGGGAGCCAAGGTGGTGGTCATAGAAAAGAGGGATGCCTTTTCCCGCAATAATGTGCTGCATTTGTGGCCATTCACCATACATGACTTGAGGGGTCTTGGCGCCAAAAAGTTTTACGGCAAATTCTGTGCAGGATCCATAGACCATATCAGTAAGTACAGCCGCAGCTAGGCACAGCAGCACTTGTTCTTCACAGGGAAAAGTAGGTGAGGGCATGGGGTAGCTCATTAAAATTCAGCCTACACCAATCGCTGCTCTCAAGTGCTCGTGACACAATTCAGCGTTACCTTTGCATTGTGCATTTTGGGCTAGACCTACATGTGAAAGAAATACATTGTGTCATGAGATTATCACACATGCAATATATATCTATCATCTTTTATACCTTTCCAAGGAATATCTTTTTCCTACACTGAAAAGTACATTTAAGGTTCAAACTTTTGTTGTTTTTGTTTTGTTTGGTTGGGGTTTTTTTGTTTGTTTGGTTTGGTTTCATTTTAAATGGATAATTCTCCTATTTTTGCTGTTGTATTCCTGCAGCTGCCACATTATTCTGTTTCTCTTGAGCATTGTAAGCAACTTGTAAAACAGAAAAATTATTGAATGCTTTTGAACGTTCTTGCGAATGCTGATCTGGAAAAAGGAGCAACAGTTTTGTGTTAATTTTTGGAAGAATGATGGAGATATTTTCAAGAGCACTGTCAGCCCATGAATAAGTTTTGATTAAATAGAGGTTTACATATTAAAATTGAGAATAATTTTGATGATTCTCAAATTCTGGGCAATCAGTCTCCTTTGAAAGCTGAATGCTTTGGTGGAACATGAGTTATTTTTCAGGTTTTTTTTTTTTTTTTCAAAAAATTTACTGGACATGCACAGCCAGGTTTTGCTCACCAGTCTGTCTTCTCCACTTGGCATAAGTGGGGAAGTATAAAGTGGCACAAACATAATAGGTAAGATTTGGCTTCTTGTCTAAATCAAAAGCTGCTTGTGGTTTTTTTTTTTTTTTTGTTTGTTTCCTTTTTTGGTAAAGTTGGAAGATCTTTGGAACTTCAGTCTGGAAGATTGGTTTTTCCCTTCCAATTTCATGTCATTTTTATTCTTCCAGTACTTTATTAACTTTGTCTTCTTTTGTATCTCAGCACAGCTGAAATTTAATGTTTAGGTAGAGCACATTTTCATTTCAGTATCTGAAATATGACAGTAAGGTGTCTTCCTTCAAATTAATAGAGTTTGCACACTGTCATTTTCATACTCACTGCCTACTGAACTGAAGAGGAAAGAGGTGGTGAGGAGCTGACTGTTCCCTCACTAACCCAGTGGTGTTAGGATGAAGGTGCAGTTCAGTGCTATAGCTAGGCTGATCAAATGGCTGATTGCCATCTATGACAGAGGTGCAGTCCTGCTTGTGCTCTCTTCCCTCCCTCTCCTGTAGTGCATGGTTTGGGTGTTTTCCTTGTTACAGATTTGGCTTCTGAAACATTAAAAAATTATTTACTTTTTATTCTTTGAAAAGGGCTGGGTTTTCAGCTACATAGAAGTTTCTTGGCATGCTGTGATATTACACACCAGTGCTGCCTGGATGAAGTGCTGGGAACACAGTGGGGAAAAAGAATGTAGCAGCTGACCTTAAAAACAGTTTATCGGTAATATCAAGTAGAGATGTATGGGCACCTGTGCTCTTTTATTTTTCTTTTATTTCTTAATAATCTGTTTTTTTTACAGGTATCCGTCAGCTCCAGCTTATCCTTTTGAAGGTTGCCTTGATCTTGGGAATAGAAATCCATGTCAATGTGGAATTTCAGGGTCTTGTTTACCCTCCAGAGGATCAGGAGAATGAAAGCAAGTAGCACTGAAATGGGTTGTAGAGAAAGGGGAAGTTGTGGTAGGATACACAGACATCTCCTCCTTAACTCTGCTTATGACAATCCTTTCCTCAGTCTGCATTTAATAAAGAGTAATTATTAATACACTTTTGCTTGAAGTTTTAGTAGGATTTATTTTTTTCTAGTGACAAATCCAAATAATTTACTATATGAAACAGTCACCTGAAGTACTACACAGAAATAGACCAAGACACAGTAGATCAAAATTGCTCCTAAAATATTTAAGCCCATTGCGCTTAGAAGATACCTTTGTAAAACAACTCCTTTCCTTCTATTTACTGAGGCTATTTATATCTGTGAATGGTCCTTGTTGCTTTTTATATCTTTATGAAACCGGTTCTCAGATCGCCATGGAGATGGTGGCTTACTTGGTTTTTGGCATGCTATTAATTGGATAGATAGTAGAGAAGCTATAAAAGTTGTAGTGATCCTTAAAGGTAACAGTCAGGAGGTATTTACTGGAGCTGTCTCTGCCTCTGATTCACACATTAGCCTTGTCAACAATACAGCTGTCCTGCAGTGTATCTTTACTGACAATGTGAGAAAGATATTATAGTTAGTAAGAAGTGGTTTTATATATTTGTTCTATTATGAGCACTGTTTATATTGTCATTAATTTGGAGTTTACCAACAGGAATAGGTTGGCGTGCATTGGTCCACCCAAAAACCCATCCAGTATCTGAGTATGAATTTGAAGTAATCATTGGAGGGGATGGCAGGAGGAACACCTTAGAAGGTAATGGTGTGTCCATAATTCACTTTCAAATAGAAGTTATTCTTAAATTAATCAGAACAAAAATGGCCTTTACTGTCTCAGTTAAAATCTGGAAAGACATTTGACTATTGAGATTAAAAGTCAATATAAAAATCCATTTGTATCAAACACATGTGGGTTGTCTTTTTCCTCTTCCTATCCACTAGTAAAGGAATTAGATGTTTTGACCTGGATAATTTTTCTTTTTTTTTTTTTTTTTTCAGCTGAGTAGTATTGTAGCCCTTACTTTTCGGAGTAGGAATTAAAGTGTTGAATATTATTCTGTATAGTAGAGAATTCTGTCTTAATATTTTTGATGCAAGTTGCAACTTTTGGAAAGCAGGTATGAAAGAGAGGGGAGCTTTTCCCCAAACAAAAGGTTTTTGTTTTTTTTTTTTCTGATGAAGCAATTGTTGCTCTCTCTGGGGAGAAGTCTGTAATTCATCAGATCCATTTGCTGTTTTGATTTTGTGAGGGCACCTGTCTACGGCATGCTGAGCATTCTGTGAAAGTCTGCTCTGTTTTGCAGTGTTGCTACTTTATCCTTCCTTTAGGGTTTCGCCGAAAAGAGTTCCGTGGTAAACTAGCAATTGCTATCACAGCAAACTTCATTAATCGCAACACCACAGCTGAAGCCAAAGTAGAAGAGATTAGTGGTGTGGCCTTCATATTCAACCAGAAGTTTTTCCAGGATCTACGAGAAGCCACAGGTTTGCCAGCAATTGCCAGATTTCCAGTAAAAAATATTTGTCTTTATTATTACAACTCTGTGACTCAGGTATCATGCTTAATCAATAAATGAACATCTTGTCCAAGGAGGTCAGTCATTGCTGTCTCTGAAATCTGACTTCCCCATTTTTACAGCTCTTCCATACAGCTCTACAAAGCAGATGTGTATCATTCAGATGTGTGTCATTTTAGTTGAAAAGTGGAGAACTTATTTCCTGGACAGTTTTCGGGAAATCTGAGCCCTAAATAGGGAAAGTCTGAATCCTGAATTCAGCTTCTTGCACCCCACATCTGAATGTAAACCTTAGAGTCATGATAAATGTATATTTTTAAGGAGGTAGCTATATGCAGGTGAAGTGTTCTGTTCGTGTTTTTTTTGAAGATTCAGATTTTAACATCATCAGAAGCGTGAGAGAAAGCTGCTTGGCATTCTCTCTCTAAGGCTTTCGAACCCTGTAGTTTCAATTTACTTTCTTCCAATAGAGCTCTTGTGTTGCATGTTAACATGTAACTTGTTCCTTCACTACCATGTCTTTTGTTCTGTCCCAAGGTATTGACTTGGAGAACATCGTCTACTACAAAGATGATACACACTACTTTGTCATGACTGCCAAAAAACAGAGCTTGCTGGAAAAAGGAGTGATACGGCATGTGAGTATTAACTTTTCCTCTGTTCTCTATAAGCTAAGATTTTTGGGACAATTTGCTTTTGGTATGCTGGAAGAAGGGAAACGTGCTTTTCTTCCACCATATAATGTTTTTATATAGGTGTATTTCAGAATGGAAATATATGCAGTTAATGTCATTCTGAATTATTTTAAGCCATCAGAAGAGTGTTACAAGACCTATGCTCTCCAAATTTTTATCCCTTTGTAGATTTGGTGGTTTTGTTCATGTTAAGATAAAATATGCTTAAAGAACATTTGAGAGCTTAGTTGAGCTTCTGTCATTTTATGGGAATGAAAAAGCAGGGAGTGAAGAAAGTATTGGAAATTTACCTCTATTTTATTCTAACAGAAGCTGATTTAAAAGTAGTTTGGCCACAAGTGAATAAATAAGGATTGAGGTCTTGTACCTTTTGTCTGAAGTGTCTGAATAGAAATGCTCAGAAGTTTCTTAGCCCTTTTGCAGTTAGAAATACTAGCAGGACTGATTACTGTTTGGAATAAAAGATACACAAATTTTCTTTTGGAAGCATAAACACAGATAGGAATGAAAGAAATTAGAGGGCAAAGCTGCATCAGTGGATTTGTCAGAATTTTAATGCCAACTATCATATATACCAGTCTTAAAATACACTTGTGGATTTGGATGTTTCACTTTTACTTTTCTGGTTTTGGCAGGATTATGCTGACACAGAGTTATTACTCTCACGGGAGAACGTGGACCAGGAAGCTCTGCTAAACTATGCCAGAGAAGCAGCTGACTTCTCCACTAATCAGCAGCTGCCGTCACTGGACTTTGCCATCAATCACTATGGTCAGCCAGATGTGGCCATGTTTGACTTCACATGCATGTATGCGTCAGAGAATGCAGCTCTGGTTCGAGAGCAGAATGGGCACCAGTTACTTGTGGCACTGGTTGGGGACAGTCTCTTAGAGGTTTGTCTTTTAAACTTGTCACGTGTAAACAGTGAATTGAAGCATAAGTACAAGCCACTGCACCCATCACTGAAATATGCACTGCCTATAAGTTACTATAAGGAAAGCTGCCGTTTATTATCTAATAAAGTGGGAGTTATGAAGGAAGGGTAGGAGTGTTGGGAAAAAAGAATATTTAGAATGGTAATGATCTTGCTCAAGAAAATGTGTGCAGAGATTTTTCAGGAGTTGTGTCTGTTCCATCTGCTTCTTATTGGGACAATTAGACTCTCTACAGAACCTACTGTAGGCCTGTTAATAATTATCATTTTGTAGTTGGTTAAAAAGTACAATCTTGAAAAGAAGCTCTTAAGGCACTGCAGGCTTTCAGTTGCTGTTGGCAGTAGAGGAACATTGGCTTTGGAGAAGCTCATGGGCAATTCACCATACATCTGGCTTCCTCTAGCCCAGCAGAACTAGGGCTTTAAGCTAATTGCTGAGCTATATTATTCCTAGCAGATTACCATCTGAGTATATTCTTGATATTTGTTTAAAATTTTCCCTAACTGATGCTTTTCCTTTCTCTGCTTTTTTGGTAAACTGTAATATTAGCCATTTTGGCCAATGGGAACTGGAATAGCCAGGGGATTTTTGGCTGCGATGGACTCTGCTTGGATGGTACGAAGTTGGTCGCTCGGAGCCAGTCCTTTGGAAGTTCTTGCGGAGAGGTAATAGAAAAAATGAGTCCACTTTCTGTTCTAATCTAATCCTCCAACATCTTATCATTCATTCCAGTTTCTTCTAGCGCAAATATATAGACAGAATGGGAAGTACAGATTCTCACTCTTTTTAGAGGATGCTTGTGGATATAATTCGGTTGAAGAAAACATTCCCCAAGGAGCTGATAAACTGAAGTACATTTATAGAGGAGTAAGAAATGTTGCAGCTGTTCTTGGTCCCAGTTTTAAAAGATTAGATGGAGAGTTTTTTTGGTGCTTATTGTCATTACATGGAGGAAGGGACTGACTGTCACCAGCCTTGCAATAGCAAACTAGATAAAGATGTAGGTGCCTCTAAAGTACCAGAGACAAAATATCTTGCCATCCCCTATTATCTTGTAAATATCTTTTATGATTTCCTTTTAAGGAAGCTATGACCTGCTTTTATTTCATGTTCTCCTAAATTGGTCACTTTGTTTCATATAAGCCAAAAAACATCTTGTGGTTTTTTTTTGAGTATCGAGTTCTTTATGTTTTTAGCACCTCTGGTTGAGTGTTATTTTGGTGACTTAAGGTGATCTGGTAGAGATCAGTACTCAGGTAATTAAAAGATGGAGTAAGTAAAAGCAACAGCTAGTAGAACCAATTTTAAACTTAAGCAACTGCAGCTTCTGACCATCAGGAACCATAGCATAATTTTACTGGGAACCCTTTCAGTTGTGCTTAATGTGTTGTTTTCTTCCCTCCTTTTGATTTCTGGAGTTTTATTAAATTGCAGATTTTAATTTACTTATACTGAATCTTAGCTATTCAGTGTCTGATGTGGTTAGATTTGTGATCTGAATGTTTATCTCTCGGGAATTTACTTAGCAGTAGTGATGTATCTCTTAAAAAACATCCAAAACAAAACAAACACAAAACCACCACAAAACCTAAAACAAACCAACCAAAACAAAACGCCAAACTTTTTTTTTTATTTGATTTTCCCAAGGGAAAGCATTTATAGGCTACTGCCTCAGACCACCCCTGAGAATGTGAGTAAAAACTTCAGCCATTACAGCATTGATCCTGCCACCCGGTATCCCAATATCAACGTCAACTTCTTGAGACCACAGCAGGTAACTCGACAAACTGTGCTCCTAAATGCTTGTAATCTGTCTTGTCTTTCCTTAGGTGAAGCTGTGCTAATGTTTTGGGAACAGATAGTGACCTGATGTGGCAGTATAACATGCAAGCAGTGAAAAGGAGATATATCAGTCAAGAATAGACTCTGTAATTTAACAAATTCCTTTTTTGGAATTTTGGATTTTGATAGTTTTAACCATTCTGTAGTGATATGGGAAATCTATGCATTTGTATATATATGTGCATATACACATGCACATTTTTTTGGAAATAATCTAGTATAGCAGCCTGTCACTGCAATTCAGTATCCACTGAGCAGCAGCAGTCGGCTAGACTGTTCAGCACTGACAAACTGATCCTTGTTGTTCTGGGGTTCTTGGGTTTGGGCTTTCTGCTATGTAAGTGTACTTGTCTTCCATTTTGCTCTTGGGATAGCTGCTCCTTGTCCTCTGGCTCTTTCTGTATGGATCTTGGGTGCATGGCATGTTGGTAATTACTCTTCTTTTTTTTGGTGTCATTTTAGGTACGCCACTTGTATAATACAGGAGATTTGAAAGACATTCACCTGGAAATAGAGAACTTTGTGAACTCCAGGACACCAAAGCTGACTCGGAATGGTAGGCCTGGCTGCTGTTCTGTTCCCTTTGGTATTCTGGAGCTGGATCAGTGCAAGAACCATAGAGCAGCAGGGCTGTGGGGTATTATTTAATCATTCTCTTTTGGTTTAGAAAATGTATCCAGCAATTGTTTCATCAACAGTCTGATTTTTCAAGTTTCAATTAGCATGTAAATGTATTTTTGTTTGTTGAATTTCACTTTCTTTATAATGTTGTTAAATTTCTAAGCGTATCTGCTTATGTAAGTATTTTTCACCTCCTTTATCCTATAACAATGTTCATCCTTAGAGCGCAGAAACGTAGCCTGAATTCATTCTAAGAGTAAGCTCAGAATTCTTACAAACATAACAGAAGGCATTTCTTGTGCAGTCTTTCATGTTCATACTTTCTTTTACTCAATCCTCTCTTTTAGCTTAACCAAATGAAACCTCACTTTGCTCCCATTATTCTGCAAGTTAGATGCCTTGTGATAAGCATTTCAGTATCTGTCTACTTGTCTTGTACCCTGAGGGGTAGGTTGAACTTTTCCTTTTGCACACCTTGCCTTTGGATGTCCAGATAGTGTTTGAGGACTCTCAGAATGGCACTTTGCTGCTAAGCCTCCCTTTCACTGCTGAATAGCTGTGTAGTCTTTTGATTTGTTCTTTGCCCTGCAACCGTTTCTCTTTAGGCTGTAATCTCATCAGATCTTGCAGTAAGGCAAGGTCAGAACAGGTCAGAGCTTTTAAAGGAAAGTTTTCAAGAGAAAAGAAAAAGTTGCAGAAGTACATTTGTAGTTCTTCCATTAGAAATAATATATCTGGGCTTTAGAGAGCGTTGGGCTACTGTATATCCTTTTGATCATATTTAACAAGCTTTTGTGACTGTTTTATAATTCCTGGGGCTTTTTTACAAGGACTAGGGTGGAAAGCCTGGCAAGTTATAAATTAGATAATTACTTTTTAGCAAATTAAAAATCCTTTCTTGGATCTAAAATAGATATGATGGTATTTAAAAAAAAAAAAAATTCTGTCCCATGTTGCCCATTGTAGAAGGAGCTTGTTGTTTACATGAAGGCATGAAGGCTTGATTTGTTGATTCATGGTTTTTAGGTTGTATTTAGAATTCGTGAAAGAGACGTTGTGCATTTCTACTTAAAACTGTGATTCTTTTTTCAGAGTCTGTAGCTCGCTCTAGTAAATTGCTCAGTTGGTGCCAGAGGCAAACTGATGGATATGCTGGGGTTAATGTGACAGATCTCACGATGTCATGGAAAAGTGGCCTAGCTTTGTGTGCCATTATCCACAGATACCGTCCAGACTTAATGTGAGTAACTGGCTGTTTTGAATAACTGGGAAGGGCAGAACATTAGTGATACTTGGAACTAATAGTACGGAGGCTGAGGCAATGCATTTGTGACTTATGGAAAAATTGATTGAAATGAATTCAATTTAACTTGATAGAAGGTGGTGTACAGTGGTTCACCATCAGAGTGGAAGGTCATAATAGCTTGATGAATATAAAGATAAATATGTTGTCATTTTCCTTCTGGATGATTTGACAGAATTAAGTTTCAAATCGGTACTGACTGGAAAGTGTTATTGATGGATATCTCTTTTCTCTGTGAAGTTAGTCAGGAATAGTTCATACCTTCAGTTAAATTTCTTGTGAACAAGTCTTTACACAGCCCTTTATAAATCTCCTGCTTAACAGAAACTCTTTTTAAAAGACTTTTAGGCCGCTCTTTTTAGAAGTAGTGACCCACAGTATAAACAAAGATATTGCTACTGTTTGTACACTAATATGCTGATTAGAGGCATGCCCTTACATCATATATTGGGTAAAACAGTGCCCAGATTCTAGAATGGGAAAACACTGGCTGAAAGAATTAACAGTAGCAAAGACTCCGGTACTTTAATTGAAAGCTGAAATGTCTTCAGCCTCCCAAAGGGATGTTAGAAAAAGTAAATGCTAGAGCTGTATTTAAAGACATAATCCAACGTAAAGCATGCTGAAAAATTACACGGTTATTCCTTTCCATGTGCCCTGAATTACTTCTTTATTGGTGTACTCAAGTTAACTTGAGCTACTCTGTTTAATGGCTATATAGCTTGTAGAGTTCAAATAGCTTTTAAAATGGTTGATTTAACTCTCTACAAGCTATAGCTTTTTATATAGTTCTACAAGTTTTTGAAAAAAACAGCAGAACTAAAATATGGATCAGTCAAGAAAAAAGGGGACAGAAGTGAAGATCTAATTTAGTTCCAAGCATAACAAAAGATTTTATCTAGGGGGAAAACAGTACAATCTTCCAGCAAAGGAGGAAGTAAACATGTATTTCAGAGGATAATAAAGTTTTTAAGAAGAAAAATCTGGGTTTGCAGGAGGAGCGAAAAATGAAAAAAGAATACATCTGAGCCAAAGTTCACTATAATTAGCATCAACCCTTCAATACAAGAAGTTGCTGGCAGATAAATTTGAGAAATTTCGGAGAAAGCAACAAATAGAGAGAGATGCATCCCTGAGTTCTTCCAGGAGACTGGTTTCTACTTGATTCAGTGCATGCCCTCTTTATGCCCTTTGCAGAGACTTTGATTCTTTGGATGAGCACAATGTGGAGAAGAATAACCAGCTGGCCTTTGACATTGCTGAAAAAGAGTTTGGAATATCTCCCATTATGACTGGAAAGGAAATGGCATCTGTCGGAGAGCCAGATAAACTGTCAATGGTGATGTACCTCACACAGTTCTATGAGATGTTCAAAGACACCATCCCCTCTAGCGGTAAGGAGTTTGGGGCAGGTCTGGCAGATTTAAAGACAGCTTCAGGGTCAATGTGTGTGCTTCAGTTACCTTCATGCGTCTTCTGCATGAGCTCATACTGGTCACTCACTAACTTTACATTACATAAAGTTGACTTTTTACTGGTGCTGATAAAGGCCGTGTTAGCAGCATTATGAGCAAAAAAAAAAAAAAAAGGAGTTAATACAAAATAATGCCCTCAAAAGTTCTAAACTCATTTCAGCATTACTAGATAACTTTTCGGCTTTCTTGCTATTATTAGGGGTTCATCTGTCTCAGCTAACGTGAGATGCTTCACTAGTAGTTGTTTAGTGGGTAATTTCAAAACACTGGCCAAGTTTTATGTCTATTTACCGTCTGTGAATGGCGAGACTAACTTCAGGCCAATGAGGAATGAAAAATCTTTGATTAGAACTGAAAGATGTAATTGCCTAACACAAATCAATATGGCCTACCTTTAAATATTAATAACATTATTACAGTTTTTTCTTTATTACTGATGATCTTAATTCCAGTCTATCATTCCGGTGGGGGGAAAAAAATAAAGGTGTTTTTAATAAAGCCTTTTAAAAGTATAGTGTGTATCAGGTATTATTCTCAAAACTCTGAACTCTTCTTAAGAATACTGATGATAATGATGCTCTTTAAATATGAAAGTAAATAAGCAAACAGTATTTATTCTGGGTGGTTATAAACCCTGAAAGGAGAATTGATTTTGGCAAAATGAAAAAGAGTAGCTGAGAAAGGTATTCATTCTGGACATTACAATAATTTTGTACAGAGAATTTAAGAAAAAGAGTGTTACATTAAAAAAATCAGTTGTGTATTTAATAATAGCAGAATGGAAAAAATTTCTTGGCATTCCCTTGTTCTACCTGTTTTTACTAACAGATAGCCTGGACCTGAATGCAGAAGAAAAAGCTGCCCTAATTGCCAGTACCAAATCGCCTATCTCTTTTCTCAGTAAACTGGGACAAAGCATCTCTCGGAAACGCACTCCGAAGGTAACCATGCCACGGTATCAATAACACTTGTATCTGTTAGGCTGCTGTCCAAGTAGGTGGGACTAAAAACGCCTGTGTAAGTGTGTATCTGCTATGTGTTTGCAAGAGACCACGTGTTCATCAGGTCTTGGCATGGGACAGCATACAACATTTATAACCGCAGAATTACATCCATAATATGTACTTTCAATTAGTGGTATATTTCAGTCTTAAAATCCTAGCTTTGTGGTAGTATTTGGGGATATATTTTGTACTGGAACATAACTGGTTACTCAGTTCCCAGTTAATTTGAAAGTATTGAAGAATTTCCAATTTGAAGGTAAGAATCCCCTAAGGAAGATCAGGGAAAAACCGTTTTCTTTAAACAAGTGGAGAGTGAGCCCAGAGAACTAATCAGTTGTGTCAGAGAGCTTACTTAACTTACACACTTACGACATTTATGTCAGGCCAGAAAGGTATGAGAATACTTACCTTTGTGGTTTTCTTTTTTTCCTCTCCTCCTTCCATTTTCAGGACAAAAAAGAAAAGGAACTGGATGGTGCAGGGAAAAGGAGAAAAACCAGCCAATCTGAGGATGTAAGTATTACAGTGAGGAAAGTGTCAGGGAAGAAAACATATGGTAGGTTCCTACTTCCCACTTCAGTCCTTTCATTTTCTATATCCAGACAGGGTTTATATAAGATTTTTTTTCCATCAAAATTAATTCTTCTTTCAGAGGTTACACTTTGTTGTATCTATAGTGCAAATATTTTACTGATGCTTATGAAAGAATAGTACACAACAAATGAAATGTTGTAGTTGCCTCATATTCTATTTTTATTGCAGTTTGCTGTGGTTTGATGTGGACACCAAGAATAAAACTTTAAAGTCATGCAGTATAGTCAGACGTTTCATTCCTATTTTAGCTTTAGCCTTGGTTAGTGCAAAAAGCATATATTTGTAATATGCCCCATAAGGCAGTCCTTCAGTTGCAATGTTTATAGCCAAATAGATACAAGTGAGTTAAAATTTAGTGCTTTGAGTTGTTAACAAAGGTTTGAAGATAGACCTTTGCTTTATGTCAAGAGATTTATGGGAGTGTTTCAACTGTGGTCTGTTTGGTAGGCGAGTATATCAAATAAGTTTGAAAAGTAAAGTTTAACAGAACTTTTGATGACATGCCAAAGGAAATTAAAATGTGAGCTTTCAGGTGCAAACTAATGGATTTGTTTTCTACAGTGTTAGAAACCTATCACAGTGAAGGGGAAGAGAGGAAAAGGTGATGCAGGTTGTATCTTGTTAAATTTTGATGTCACTGATTGTTAGGAGGACATCCCACGAAGCTACAGAGAAGAAAGGCCCACGCTGGTGAGCGCCCTGACAGAGAGGAGAATTGATGCTGCCATTGGGAATCAGAACAAAGTCAAGTCTATGGCAACCCAGCTACTGGCCAAGTTTGAGGAGAATGCACCAGTGCAGTCCTCAAGCTTACGTAGACAGGTAGGAGATGGGTAATAAACGCCTTATTTTGGAATTGTGGAGGAAAATAATGAATAATAACATGTATTCCTTGAGACTGGATGCTAGTGGTGCTTTTGTACTTCAAAGGCTAGGGAAGAGTGAAGCTTACTGAAAAGAGAACAATTTAAAATTTAGGAGTGTGGGTTGGAGAAAAGCATCCTAATAAAAATCTATTTCTCTGTTATTGCCCATACCATTTTATGTAATTTGAAAAGCTTTCCAGTAACGTTCTCTTTTAATGTTTAAAAACTATCATTTAATTTCTAATTTGAACTTTTTCATGCCAGATTACACCTGTTTTTTCTTGTAAACTGTGATTAAATTTTGTATGTGTATGTAAGTGCAGCAGATAAATGCCTGGGACTTTCTTTGCAGTCAGGATATTTGTGTCATTCCAAGCGAGGCTTCCTGATGACTCCTGGTTATGGATGTTATCTGAACTCCTGCAACTGCAGGGTGGTTGTCTTTGAAGTTAGACTGGGTCGCTTCAAGCTACTGCTAGCAGCGCATTGTCAGCAGTGTAAGGCTCAGTATGGTGTAAGTGCCTGAGCTCCTGCTCAGCTGCATAGTCTGTCTTCCTAGGTGGTGCCAAGCTTTGTGCTGTCATGGCCAGGTTGTGAGTGGGACCTGACCTAGCTACTGTAAAGCTAGGTCAAGTATGTCTGTGCTACACCACACATCAGTGTTAGTAGTATAACATAATTTCAGAAAGGTGATGTTTATCCCACTCTTTACCAATGAGATGTTTCCTCAGCCACTACATATTGTCTGAAATAACCAGTTTGATTTGAAGAAACCATGAAAATAAAGGAAACGTCCTAAAATACGTGTAGTTTCCCATTTTTGGATGATTTTTCCCTTTTTATATTTTACTTGCTAAATGAATTCTCCCCTACCCTATTTTTTTTTTTTTTTTAAAATGTTTGTCTGTGTTACTCTGTATCCCACTCCTTTGGATTTCTTTGAGTTTCCTTTACTATTTTATCTTTCCTCCTTGATCCCATTTTCCCTACAACCTGCATGCAGCAACCTGTCCTGCCTTATCAAGAACGTGTTCACAACCAACCATCCAGCAGACGAGAGCAGGGCCGTCTTGCTCCCATACCCCAGTGGAAACAGGTAAAGAAACTGATTATGAATACAATGCATTGCCTGCACCCAACACTAGCTATCACTGTCCCATTTTTAAAGTTATCATTTTCCAGCACCTTGTGTGAGTCCATTATTTTAAATAATTTAACTTTCAGTGAATAAAATAAGCATCTCTCTTTGGTAATGATTCATGGTTTAATGTTTCAAAAAGGACTTAGTCACATTTTCCCTGTCCTCTTATGCTAGTTTCAACTTCCCAGGGTTTCAGTGGATGTTTTAGCCGAAACCTTGCTACAGACTTTCTGGATTTTTCCGTTAGGAAAAAATTGAAAATATTTAAGCAATTATTGCAATTAATGAGGTAAAAGGTGTCATGCCATTTATGATATTAAAGCTCTCCCTTGGTATAAATAGTAAAATCAATTATCAGTTTTGCTATTCACATGTGAAATCTTGTATGTTCTGCAGTTACAGGAGACTTTACTGTGGTTTCCCTTTCTCTATGACAAACGTAGCTTTCCTTGCCAGCTTCTCACATTCACTGCATTGCAGATTCCTGTATTACTGTGAATTAAGTAAATTTTAGGTTTTCTGCCTCAGAGGGGCTCAGTAGGGATCAACAGCAGAAAAATCAGCAGGTATCAAATTTTATTTTCTCTCCTGTGTTTTGGCCCACTGTCATTGCCAGTGTTTTTCCTTCAGCTGTTCACTTTCAAAAGCTAAGGCTTGTGACAGACAATCTTTTCAGGCAGATAGGGATACTTATCGCACTGGCTTCCTGTGCTTCCACTGTTTCTCTGTGCAAATGGCCTCCTCATGTTTCTGAGAGTGCTGAGAGATATTTTTCTGGCAGCCATAATTTGGAGAAACATCTGCTTCTTTCTGGTTGCAGTTTAATCAGAGCATACTTTGGAGTCAAGAGGAAGAAGGCGACACTAGTTTGGAAATTCACTGTTCTACATGATTATGGATTCATGGTGATCTTCACATTCAAGGCATTCAACACAATTAATGCTGCATGTCATGACCAGTGCCATGATCTAGAAGATGTCTCTCCAAGGAAGAAGACCTGGGCCAGGGGAATTACTGTCAGTAGGACTGTTAAGAGAGTCTTAAAAATGTCAGCATTATGTTTAGGTTTCCTGACTCAGTGTTTTTTTTCTTCTACCTTCTGTCTCATCAAAATCTTCATAGGCTAATGAGCACTTTCAGATGGATGCACATCATCCATGATTAAGGCAAATTTCATTTTTTAAGAATACTTCCCAGGTAAAGGGGGAGAACCCAAAGAACCGATGCCAAAGAGCATAATATGACTGTACAATATTAAGTCAGTTGATCAGCACTGCTTTTGTTACCCAGAAAAAAAGGAAAACTGGGTTGCATTGGCTGCCTTTCTCAGTTCAGAAGGATGAAGATTTGCATTTTAGCACTTGGAAAAGATCACATCCCTGTAGCCATGAGATTTCTATTTGAACCTGCTATTGAAACTTTATGAAGGATTTACAATTAAGCTTTTATGGTGAAACAAAAAAGTTCTTATTGTCATCCTTTTGTAATTGATTTTTAAAAAGGGCAAGCTTTTGTTTCCTGCTTTTATGATGAGGATTTTCTCCTCACCAGAGATCAGTTTCTTGTTCTTGTGTGTGTTCTTGGTTTTAGCTGCACTACATGATTTTAAAAAAAAAGGAAGAAAAAAATCCTTCTGTGTGGTCGCCCTCAACTTTGATGGCATCTCCATATAGGCAGCAATGTCAGGCAGATCACTGAAAAATCTTTTTCTAACAGTTGTACTTTCAGAGGACTTCAATTATTTTATTCAACGCTGACACTGGTTGCCTTGTGTGGATGATTTCCCTCTCAGGATTACACCTGGAAATGATCTTTTTGAGATATGCTTTACTGCATCAACAGAAGATGATTGGTTCTTGGGTCTAGGTTTCATGCTGGACTTGCAGTGCTTTTCAACTGAAACAGAGAAGAATAAAACTGGGTTTCAAGGATGCAAAATCTTCAGGATACAGTAGGATCAAAGAAACAAATGATACGGTCCTTATTCCAAAGGTTCCTTATTATGACCCTGGGGAAATGAAGAACATTGGTTGTCTTCATTCAGAAGCCTTGGGTGTATATAGAACCCATTTCTTCTCGACTGATCAGAGATCAGCTGAGGCAGGAAGCTATCCACTGAGCCAAGCAGCCAGCTTTGACAAGCTTGGACAGAAATCCATCCTGCAGGAAGTTGTTGCTGAAGCAGTGCTTCAGCTGGCTGCTGAGATTCCTAGTTCTGGTTGCTTAGGCATGCAGAATCTGATAGCTGTGAGACTGCACCTTTCTCTGGTACTGAACTGACTTTCTCTGCTGACAGTGAGCACTCTTAACTTCCTCGGCCACAGATTACCAACAGTGGAGTTGGTGCTGGGTACCAGCACTGTTACTGGAAATGCTGTAAAGGATTAGTATTGCTCCTGACAAGCTCTTTAGGGAGAATGTATGTTTACTAGAAAGAGCTGTTCCTGAAGCTATGGGAAAGGGTTCTCTTGTTTGGCACAGGTGTCAGTGTTTATGAGCAGAAACTTCTGTCAGTGACTGTGTGTAAGATATATCACATAGTGAATACCTTCTACTAAAGTGTCCTTTGAAGAGGTGCAAAGCAGTTCCTAAGGGGACCAAGTTGTGATGTGTTGTTGAGGGAAACCACAGGTTGCCTAATGCTCTTGCCAGTAGGCAAAATGAAGTTGAGATTCTCATGGGTCTTTGGGAGAAGGACAGTTTCATGTCTTGTTATTGATAAGTTTGGTCCTGTGTCTTGGAAACTGCGTGGAAGAGGAAAGTCTACTGCAAAAGCATAAGAGTGATTGCAGGGGACAAACCACACAGTTGCAAAGGATGTGGTCTGGATTGTCCCCCCAGTTTTGATGGAAAATTTACATCTCCCTTGGGCTATTACTGCCCGCCAGTGTCTATCAGGTGGACTTCCTTAGCTGTACTTGCTAATCATTTAAGGTATAGAATCTTACCTTGCCTTGAAGTTAAGAGTTACGAGGCCAGCAGTTTCAGTGAGCTTGATAGGCAGAATGTATCTGTGTCTGTTGTACAGGTGGGGTAGGAGTGGCTTCCTAAGGCAGAAAGAGTGAAATCCTGTCAGACTCTCTTCTGAAGTAGTTCTTACTTTCATCACAAGACCTTTAATGCTATCTCTTTTGAAAAGAGAAAACCTTCAAAAGATCAAGCAGTTTAAAAATCTCACCAATCTGCTGCTCGCAGCATTCTGCGTGGCCTGCATTTTCCTCATGAATTGGACTACAAAGTTTGCTTTATTGAGCTACATTTTGAGAATGTTGATCTGTGTTGTCAAAATTGTGTTCATGCTATTACGAGCACCTCAGCAGAGGTAATGCATGAAGTGTATGCGCACGTTGGAAATGTGTGTAATTTTTTATGCAGTGGTAGTATCTCTTTAAAAAGCTGGGTTGAGTTTCATGATGTGGTGGTTTATCTCCTCAATTGAATGCCTACTTCTATAAAAACATCTTCCATGGTGCGTTCTATTGCTTTCCAAGCCATTCTGGCTGGTATGGTGAAAGATCATCTCATCAGGGATCATGAAACCATTGGAAAGCCACATGGTCTGTACAGAAGAGGATCTGACTGTTTGGGTACGGTATGGGAGACAAGCCTCTGAAACTGAATGTTATCCTGGCTTTCCATACTCTCACCTTACGGCCTTCTGCAGTTTTCTGCTGTAGTTTCATAGGTTTCCTAGCAGCAGCAAGATATGTGTGTAACACATAAGCTTAAATCTTTGATGTGTACAAAGATGCTTGTAAGCGTGTCTTTTGGTGCACATCTTTTCTGCTTCTGGAGATCTGATGCTTGTTCTTTTGAGATGGTTCCCTGAAGTATGATAAAGGTGGAGCAGTACAAATTCTTTTCAGTAATTATGCTGGAACTGTGGTTCTTGAAGATATGCAATGACTAACTGAGATGACCACACTCAGCAGGAGCTGAAATCTCCAGAGAAGAGAACTTGCAACACCAATGATCTCTGCAAATAGTGTTTTTCCTACTCAGTGTGTTATTTAAACCTGTTGATGTATCTCTCCTCTTTCCTACAGCCATCTTTGTCTTTGCATGCTTAGAATTGCGTCCTACTCGAGGACTGAACATGTACTTCATAAACTTACACAGTTTTGTATTTTGAGATCTACCATGTTAAAATACACAAGTGTGTGAAAATTCTGAAATTTTAAATGCAAGCTTAAGTGGCTATGGTCAGATGAAAATCCATGAACGCCTATAGTGGTTGAAAATGTTATCACCCTTTCAGCTAGAAATTTGTGACTTCACAGCTGAGCCTTTTGAAGCAGCATATAAATATTCCTCATCCACGTCAGTGCAAAGTCATGTGCTTTAGTTTAAGCTGCTTGTAGCATCTGTTTGAAATAAAAGAGTTGATTTTTTAATTTTTTTTTTTTCCTGAAAGGAAAGAGAACACCTAAACAGATGTTAGTGCCAGCTCAGCTGTAAGGGCAGTGTAATGTACATCACATTTGTAATATCCTTAAACAACATACTGTTTCCTTGAAGGCTCTCAAACAGTGGCTTTGGATACACAGCATTTTTTTCACAGTGCAGCAATTTCCAGCTATGCTCTGGTGAGAACTCAAAAGGAAAAATCAGGTGGAAGATACATTAATAATCAAGAAGTGGTGGAGGAAATACTGTACATAGTAAGGAGATACAGAACTAGAAAGGCATATTTTCTGGCATATTATAATGAGGACATGTGTGTGCATTGTGTAATATTCAGACTACCAGATATGGCTACATTTTGGCTATAACACAGCTGTATGTTTGTTCTACTAGAATGTAGTACAGTTTAACATGCCTGAGATGGTTTAATATCTGTAAGTTAGAGGAGGGACCTGAAGCTGAGAACAGAACATGGTGACTTAAGTTGTCTTGCTAATGAACTACAAGCCAGAGTAATTAGGTCAACGGGATGGGTATTTTTAAACATTGCAAGGCACAGCAATAAGTAATTTTTCATGAAGCAAAGGTAACATTCCAACTGTGCTAGGAGAGTTCCAAATTATACCTTTCACTGATTGTAGGACCTTGAGTCAGAAACTGTTGGTTTAATTGATGATTGGTTATACATGTTCATTAATTGCCCCTGGAATTATCTGTCAGATGGACATGTGATCATGTGGCTGTGGGTGAAAAACGTAGGTCTTTCAGCTTCAGATAAAATGTGTCTTTAGGTCATTCGTGAGAGGTGTGAGCTCAAGATCACAGTCTCTCAGTTCATGCATTCTGGCCTGTCTCACCAAAGCCAATGGTAATGTTATCTCTTTTCTACCATTATTATGATTTTTTTTTTTTCTTTTTCTGTTTTAAAAAAAGCTGAGGAGTAAGGAACGTTCTCGGACCTGCCCCAAAAAAGTCATCATGCTCTCTTCTTCCTCTCCACCTTCCTCTCCACCGTATCCCAGGCAGCAGGTGATTCCCTCTGCATGCTCTGTCCCTCTCTCTTCATTACTGCTCGTACGAGTTACTAGATCAGTTACCAGATATCCTATTTACAAATGCATTTCCACTTTTCTTTTTTCAGATGGTGGTAGGGCTTCTCAGACCTCTTAGATTAGAAACATAGGTCAACATTAGCTCACCAGAAGCACAGAGAGTCTCCACTGGAGACTCTGAGATTTTACTGTAGGGGAATTTGTAATTACAGTAGCCTTTCTCAGTTTTGGTTTATAGCAAGACAGAAATTAAATGTTTGGAGTAATGCAGGAAAAGGAAATGCAGCTTTTCTCCATCTCTTTGTTTAAACAGGTGCGACTGAAAATTTGCCCTTGTATTCATGAAACTCTTTTAGGGTTACTTGTATGAAGTGCTTTTTTGGAATGTTGTAGTGGCCTGCACATGTCCACTGTGGTCCTTCTGTCTCCTCCACACCCAGGCCTTTGTCTCACCAGAGTTTGTGTTCAGTCTGTTTGAGTTTGAATTTGGAGCAGCGAGAGCTGTTCTGAACACAGTGTATAAATGTGGATCCAGATGTTTGTGCACATGTATTTCTTGTCCTTCTAGTTAAATATTACCTGAAATCCTTTAATAGTTCTGTCTTGTTGTACGTGGTCATTGTGCTTTTTTGAGTTGTATCCTTTTAAAATTTTTGTTTCATTTTCCTACTTAGGTAATAAATTCCACTCCTCCCTGATCAATCCTGAACTAATCTTGAGATGATAAAAAGGCAGCTGCAGTTCCCTAGACCTCTCAGAACTTTAAATACAGATTGTACAAATAAATTTTCCCGTAGGTGTAAAATACTTCTTTGCTGAACACTTGTATACCTATAAACACTCAGAAGGCATGCTCTCTTTTAGCAGAGTAGACAAGACTTATTCTTGGACATAAAGTTTGTCTTGCCTTATTTCTGTGATTTCTCAGAGTGTAGTTACACGTTACGGTTAATCTGGTCTAATTATCATCAGCCTCTGGAGCACACATTCTCTGCTGCCTCTCTGGTGGCTGCTTCTGCGAGGTATGTCAGGTCTGTTTACTGTTCTCATTTAAAACTGTCCTGACAAAACAAGTGGTTAGTTTTCTGGAATGCTGTGAACAGCTTATGATGCAAGGAGGGATACAGGAATGGACATCTAGGTAGAATGGGTGCAGAAAGCCCTTGTCATTAACAAAACCTGCATTTAAACTACATTGAGTGTAATATATCAGATGATGTGATAACTAGCTGCCTTCCTCTTGCCAACATCCTTTGAAAATTTTGACAGATATATTTTATGAGAGAAGAAAGGTTTTCCCAAAGCTTACAGGTAGAGAAACTAAGTGAAATACTGAGTTTTACTTTTTAATCTATGGCATGGGATTCGTTTGGCTTTCAGTCACTAAATATCCTTTAGCTCTATATTTTCCCTCCCTAGCTTCTCCAAGTGTTTGTTTGTCCTGTGTCTATTTGGTTGCATAGTTCAGTCATGAGAGCCAACTACTGCTGGGTCCAAGTGTACTTTGACCATTTTCAATGCTGTGTTCTGTAGGAAATTTTTTTTGCATGTCTACTTGCTCAAAGAAATAATAAAAAAAATAATTTGGCTTCCTCTTTTTAACTGTGAGGAATTTTCACCCCCTGTGCTACAGAACTGATCTGTTAGACTGAGTCGAGGGTTCTACTTTTGGAGACATTCTTTTTTCCCTAGGAATGATTTCTTTTTCCTGAAATTGTCTTGGCCCAGGCCTCATAGCGAGTCAGGTGGATCTGCGTTCTTGTTACACTGGTATCTTTTAAAACCTGTACCTCTGTGCTTCTGATGCATTCATTCTGCCACTTCTTTTAAACTTTCCATTTCTTTCTTTTGATCTAACATCACAGTATGAGTTCTACTGTCTTACCATCTTTATTGTACTAATTACATTGTGATACTATATTGTGGTTTACTGACCTAATATGAATATATACATTTTAAAAAAATGTCCCTATGGGAGCCAAGTTATTATTGCCAGGTTTAGAATATTTTCAGTAAACTGTTCTGCTATCATTATGACCTCTTTTCTGCCTGCATTGTAAGAAAAATCAGATGAAGTATGTTTTGACTAGGAACTTGGTCTGTGATTGTTATTAAGCTCATAATTTGTTGCCTGCAGAGAAACAGGGAACCTGGTGCCGACTGTCCCGGGGAGCAGAGTCCCAGACAGGAAAGGGTAAAGAGCATGAACACATGGCATGGATGCTGATGACACAAGGCTGTGGTGGATGTGTGCAATACAGAGAGCAAATATACTGGGTAGTGAAATACACTTATCCTAATGCTGCTGTTAACACGCTGGAGCTGCTGAGAGTCAATTAGAAGTGATTATTTCTGTGTGATACCCACATAAATGCATAACAAGCCTTCCTCAACAGTTTGCTATATGCTTTTATTTTGCTGTAGGTCTAGCACTTAAGCTCTTCCCATTCTTCTTTTTCTCTTACACCTCTTTAGTGAAGTATGCTGTGGCTGTAGCAGAACAAGAAGAGTTATGTTTTGTGCTAATTCATGCGAACATGGTTGCATTGTTTTCACTGCTTGCTTTCTGGATGGTTAAACAACTGGCATTCCATCCTGCCTCCTACAGGCCAAAGTAAAAGGAAAAATGATGAGCCGTTATTTAGTATAGAGACTTTGAAGCCTTCTTAACAATGAAATATTCAACAGTCTGTCTGAATGGCTCAGTATTATGCAGAAGTATGGGAAAAGATAGGCACTCAAAGGAATTGGTTGATTTGAATTCATATTGACAAATTAATTGACATTTCAGTAAAGACTTTGAATGAATTAAGTCATAAGTGGTAGCCAGCTACAAAACTGTTTCAACTTTCAGAATGTGTTCTAACAGAAGACTCTTGTGGGCCGAATGTTTTCTGACAGGCAGTAGAAAATGAATAAGCATGTGTCTGCAGTGACACAGAAGCCCACAGCTTTATAATAGGCCCTAGTTTTTGTGAAAATGATCTAGTAGGAAGGAGTAGGTGGAACTGAAAGCAGCCGATAGTAGAGAGTATTATTTAATGCATCTGAATGGGAAAAGCGTTTCTTGTAAACTGGGTGTGAACTCAATTTTCTGTTCTGCTTTGGAGGACAGTAAGCAATACATAGCAGCACCCTGGCATTCTTGACAGACAAAGCCTGCAGTTTCTTCATGCACATGTTTGTAGTTCCTGGGCCATTTACTTTTGAACTTTACAAGCAAATTAGCTGAAGGCTCTGTGATATTGCTAGTGATACTCTTGTCTTGTACAGCAGGCCACAAGCCTGGTCTTTTTTCCATGTCACTAAGTGTACCATACAACAGTTTAAGAGTATTGATATGAAGGACCATAATAGCAGAAGCATCAAATATTGTGTCTGGACTGGAGTGTGTTGTCATGACAGTGCAGTAAGAACAAGTAGGACAGTGAAGTTGCAGAAGTAAAACTGGCAGCTTCTGTGTTAGTTTGGTTTTGCTGTGCTTTGTTTAAACCAGCCAGGCTCATTAAACATCCTGTCTTTGGTGAGTACACCATTTACTTCTCATATACCATCATATTTAAGGAAACTAACTCATTTTTTGTGAGGAGAACTGAAGTACATTACCCTAAAAACATGCATTTCTGTACACAAAATCTGAGAAACACAAGTATGTACAGGTTTAGATATGTAAAGGAAATCATTTAGAAACGAGAACTATGGCGAAATAGGTTGGCAAATAAGCTTCTTTGTGCATGATAAAGCCACATTTTTGATTTTTTAGAGTTTGGTGGTTTGGGTTTTTTTTTTTTTTTTTTGGATGGTAATGCCAGAGAGAGAGGACACCCGCTTGTTTGGTTTTGGCTGCGGTGGTCCTAGGTGAGAGAGTTGTGAATAACAGCTAATTCAGCTGTTCTTTTGGCTGGCCTTGAGGGTCAAAATTTAGCACTTCATTAAAACAGTAGAGATTGGGAATAAAACCAGTATTCACATGGGAGCGCCTCTTACTGTTCTGCATGTGAATTTCATGCCTTTTGTCTGGCATTTCAATGTCTGTTCTTTTTGGGTCTTTTTTTGCTGGTTTGCTTACTCCCACCCTCCTTACACATCTCACAGAGATCTCCTGGTTTATTTTCTGATGACCAAGTGCCTGAAAATGTTGAGCAAAGTGCATGTCAGCTGGCTGCCCTCCGGGAGTGCAGACCTGCAGTGAGGCATCAGGTGATTACAGCCCTGCCTTATCTGGTGTCCTGTATCAGTGCGGGATTCTGGGTACCAGTGACATCTGGAGTCTGAGGGATAGAAAAATTTTCCAAAATACAATGACTGCTGCTGCACATTCATATGGTTAAAAAGACGCAGTCAAGTCTTTTGTGTAGTAATTTTATTCTACTTGCCAGTTCTTAACTGTCTTCTTGTTTGAGGAATGGCAGTGGTTCTGTTTCTCAAAACACAGTATAAGCAATAAGGTAAAAAACAGCCTCCAAGCTTCAGGATACATGTGGAAAACCAGCTGGACTCCAGATCAAATCATCTTACAATGGTCGTTTACCGGTCAGTTGCTCATAAATTTTATTTGCTTCTGGAAGCAAGAACATTTGCATTTTCCAAGCATAGTTCCCGGCTCTGAAGTATTACTTTTGTGTCCATACTTCCTGTATACTTATTTCCAACAGTAGAGTTGGCAGCTTATGCAGATTTTCTTTGATTCCAGTGTACACTTCTGGTTTGGTTTGATTTTGTGCTTAATTTGCTCTCCAGCATGTGGTCTTTGGCATATGGGAGCAAGTCAATTTGAACAGTGGTTCTTTAATGTCTAGTTGCTTGCCCTTATCTCTGGTTTTGGTTATCTTCAACAGCATTTGGCAAACTGGAGTGTGGTTTTGGAAAACACCGTCTATATAAGTGGTTTTTTCATAACTTATTGTTTTGAGTTAACCATCCAAAATCAGTCTGCCTTCTTGAGCTGGAATATAAACAGTCCTAAAACTTTTGCTGGTGGGCATAACTTTTCCAAGCCATGCCAAAGTGAAATTCATAATATCTAGGTCACTTTTCATTGCTGTTCTTTGGGGATGCCATCTTTGCTGATGATTAAAGTCAGTGAAGCTGTTCTTTGGGAAGGAAGAATGAACTTTTGGCTAGGTTTGAGGTAGGAATTGGGGACATAGAAGAAACTATGAAAGACTGAGTAAGAAGACTAGGTTAAGCATATTTGCACTTATTTGTTAATGGGTGGCACAACTGAAGACCTCAGGCATGATCCGAGTACAGCATACTCATGCTTATTTCCTTACTCAGTTGAAATGATGATACAGAAATGAAAATCTAGACCAAAATGTATTACTCTTACCTTTTGTGTTGCTCTCTAGCACTTTTAAACTCCTTTTGAGGGTGGAAAATATTAACAGCATTACAATGCAAAGATAAAAATTATTTTTGAAACTATCTAATGTCTATATAGTGCAGAATTAAGAGGAGAGAAAATAGGAGTCAGAGAGCACAAATTAGAGGAAAGTATAAAGTGGGTAGGGCAGAGAGGAAAAAGAGGAAACAGATGTTGGAACACTGCAGGCAATGATGGATTATGATGTGGGATTTAAGGGAAGAAAACAAGAAAAATTAATTAGTAAGAGAAAGAAGGTTTAGCAAAGTAAGACATTTTCAGAGAAGAAATTTGATTAAATGTTGACAATCTTAAGTACAGAAAATTTGTATATAAAATAAACAGTACTATTTCTTTAAATTGGGGAAATTATGAAAGTCAAACTATTTTGCACTTTATCCAGTAGATTTAATCTCGACACTAGCCTATTCTAAGTGTCAGGAAATAGCTATTTTTGTGGATCACTCAACTACATGACATTTATTTTTCCTTTTTATAACTAATAGCATAATTTTCTAGTACAACAGAGTCAAATATATGAAATTTGACTAATTTTTCTTTCCAGACTATAATTTCTAGGGATGCGTAGTTTCTACGAGCACTATTTGCCTGATACATCCAGCTATTGTTTTTTTCCTTTTTATATGAAATATTTCTTGGGAGATAGGCATAATGAGCCATAGTGATAATAGAGGGGTATGTTGGAAGAACAAATTTTGGGTTCTCCTGTGAGGAACCAGTTTCAGAAGGATGCAAATTCTCAGTTTGGGATTAATTGTTTGCTATTTGATAAGCAAGAAGAGCAGATTGTTTTATATTGTTTCATTCTTTTTAGTATGATGTTTCCAATCTGCTTATGGTAAATTTTAGTTTGGAAGTTTGCTGATAATTAATGGCATTGCATACAAGTTAATTTCTTTCTTTTCCATCCCCAAGGAGAGCAGGCTTTTGGTTTATACAGTTAAAATATAGAAAAGGTTCCACATGGCCTGAAATACGATCTTGGTGCCTTGGCCCAGTAATACAGGAGATACAGGAGGAGCAGAGGAAATGGATTTGGGATCTTTGCCAGTGGCTTAGTTGGTTGGGTTGCAGGAGGTTGGAAATCTGTGGAAGTAGGTAACTGCTTCCAAACGATTCTAAATAACTTAAAATCTAATAAAGAGCAAATTAAGAATAGCTTACTCTGTCTCACTAGGGAGAAAGTGAAGATACACTGGACATTTTTCTTCAAGTTTTCCTACAAGAGTCTTTAAGAATTCTTTTTTGATGGTGGGCAGCAGGGCCTGAGTTCTTTTATTTTCTTCTCTCTTCCCTCTGTAGCCATGTATGATTGTTCTGATTTTTATTTTATTTTTTAGCCTGAGACTGAACCGTCTCGCCGATTCATTGTTGACCAGTGGGAGCTCTCCCTTAGCCTCCGTTCTTCTAATCGCCCTTCTTCACCTTCATCTGACTCTCTTCGACAGGTAGCATTAACCTGAGCATCGCAAGGTGCACTCAGCTGTGTTCGCTTGCTGCACCCCGGTCTCACCAGCCAAGGACACACCACGAGACCTGGCTAGGCTTGCAGTGCTTCACCTGCAGAATGCAATGTCTGTGCATATTCATGCACAAATAAGAAACGAGAGGCAACCTGTGGCATAGCTTGGGTATTGTCAGCCATAAACCAGTTTGAAACTGGATATATTTAACGTTTGGTGTAAATGAAAAGCTTGTGGTACATTTCACTCTCAAATCAGGGTTTTCTGAGCACTGATAGTGCTTCTGGCTTTGCAGTAAAGCTTTCTTGGTTTGCTTTCTGCTTTTGTCGCAGTCTTGGGCCAAACTACAGAATGCGTTTGTGCATATATGCTTAATGGACAGTGTGAAACAAAAAGTAGTTTGGCTTTCTGAAAAATCCCTGAGAATTTGAGCTAGTTGCAGTTGTCATACATAAACATCAGGAACTTGATTTTTTCTAAGCTGGAGTGGGTTCTTTGCCTGCTCTTGGAAATGCTGCAGAACGTTGTGTATCTTGAAGGCTTTTGCCCACGGGAGGAAAGATGAAATGCTTCATTTAAGACCCAGTATTAATCCAGATGTGATGTGTAGGAAAAAAGCAAAACAAATCAAAACCACAGAACCCCAAATAAAAAAATCAGCAACTAAATTTCCCACGCCAAGTAGTCCAAGGTATTCTAAGTTAAGATTAGCATAATCACTTTTTAAGCATGGAACTTCATATGTGCTGGTAGAAATTTAAAGATCCTGAAGCATCTGCAATTAAGGTTGGATGAAAGTTTGAAATCAAAATTTTTTCAGTGGAAAACTGGTTCAGCTCAAAGTTTTTCCCATGGAAAAGCTTGAACTATCTTTTAAGAAAACATAAGCCTCAAAGGTTTCTAGTCTTTTAGAGGAAAATTGGAAACTCTTGGCCAGATGATTATGACTGCCAGGTAAAAATCAATGCTGAAGAACATTTTTCCAGTGGGATGTAATTTTAAATGTAATATTTGACAAGACATGATATATGACATTGAAAGGCAACTCTGCACATCTGTGTGTGCACACACTAGCTAAGGAAGAATATGGAACCTGGGGAGTTTTGAAAGACAAATCATGTGTTATTTCTTGCATATATAAATACTGCAAATGCTCTGCATTTTGAGGTGGAATCAGTAGACAGGTAGAAGTTCGTTCTGGGTAGAAATAAGCCCTCATTACTGAAGTGGCACAGAATTTAAGGAATTAGGACTTTAGTGATAGCAACATTAATCTCTGATGGCTGATCATTCCATTCTCAAAATCTTTCTCCCCAAAGAAGTACCCATTCTGTGGTGAATTTCAGTTTTTTTGATGCATCCTGCTGTTCTGATGTCTGAACAGGTGAAGGTCTTAAACATTCCTAAAAGGCTAATAACCACACATATGAAATTTATGCTGTGCTGTTAGTTGTGGGCAATAACTAGTGTGCTTCGTGCAAGTTCTGCTATACAAGTAAAGGGGGTTTTGAGAAACAACTTTTAGTCCTTTCCTTCAGAAAACTGTTATCCTTGGTATTTTATACTTGTCAGCAACTGGAGTGTCTTTCTGGTGATCCTTCGTTGCCCAAGGGGACTCCTGCTAGAAACATTCATAATGCTTCTTAGTCTGGAAAAGGGAAATTGCTTGGTGTGCTCCTTGCTGCTCTGAGACAAATACATGGCGTTTGCAGTGTGATTGAGCTAACATGGATGTAACTACATAATTTTCTTAAACCTGTAATTATTGCCAAAGGTTGTAGGTATTTCCTGTGAAAAACACTTCCTCTGCTCCTGCAGTGACTGGACTTGGCTTGCAAATACTCATTTTGTACCATCTAAGGTAACAGCCAACCTGCCTAGATTTCTCAGAGTACTGGAGCGTTTCTAGATATCCAAAATTATAGTCAGTCAATACCCATGATGGAGAAAAGCCTAGTCATAAAGCTGTGTTCACAGTTGAACAAGTCTATGTTCCAGTTATATGCAGGTATGGCTTTAATGCATTGGATGAGGCTCTTGTATCTTTTTCCATATAAACCTCTCTGCATGTTTAGCATTGGAAGAATTAATAATTTTGAATCATTGTTTGTTCCTTAGTTAAGGATTTCTCCCTGCTCTATGAATGCTCTGTAAATGATTTTTTTTCCAGTTGCTAAGCATAGAAATATGCTGTTGTGAGCAGCATGTTGCATTAGACTATGTAACATGTTTTCTAAAAGATCTTTTTTTCTGATGACAAGTTTACCTGGAACCTAAAATCTTAACCTGTATTTGGCCTCATCTTTGAGAAGTGTCTGTGCTCAGGTTTCCAGGTGCAAAATACCCCACATGCGAAAATAAGATCTGCTTTCTTCATCATCGTAATATTTCTAGACCACTTAGAGAATGCAAAATGCAAGCCTTCTTTTCCGTTCTTACAGTTGATCCTGGACTGTACTGGTGATTTCTGATGACACTAGCTTTGCTATTACTACTTCTCACTTCGTACTGCCCACTGTCTTGGCATGATTTGACCTCTCTGCACCTTTTCACCACCTAACCTATCATCATTTTAGTAATTTTTTAATTTGATTTTTTTCTTTTCTCACTTCACTATTGTTTGATTCCATTCATCTGGTAGAAGTATATAAAGATGTACACAGGCGGAGTGAGCTCATTGGCTGAGCAGATAGCCAATCAGCTTCAAAGGAAAGAGCAACCCAAAACCCTTCTAGACAAGAAGGAACTGGTAAGGCGATGTACCGAAGATGATGCATGTTTGTGATTAGATGTACGGTAGAGCTGAAGTGTTGTGGGTGTCCAGTTGTTACTACCCCTGACGGAACCTGTCATAGCTTTGTGAAAGGCTTAATTTCCCTTTCTCCATCCACCCTCACTCTTGTCCTCATCTTCCTTGCAGAATGTTTTAATCTAATCTCAGAGTCCAAGGATTGTGCATAAGTAGTTCAGAAACTGCTTGTTGAAGATGTGTTTGATCCACTGGGGCTACTTCTGCTTTATTGTTTTCTGGAGGAGATATGATTTTGATAATGTAGGTCTAAGAACTGCTGTTTGAGGGATTTGTAATGGTTTTGGATTTCCATCATATGCCTCCTTCAGTCATTTATTTCAAGGTCATCATTAATAGTACTGGTGTCCACTCTTCCATCTAGAGTTTATTTTACTCCTGACATATGTAGGCGTGGCATCCTAGGTCGTTCTTCCCGGACAATAAGGTTCATTTTTGGTGTCCTGGGTAAAACTGTGAATTGTGTGACAAGAACTGCAGCATCAGGTGCTCCTGTATCCACATAAATGAAAATATGACCATGCAATCTTGGTGAGACAGGACACACACAAATTTAGCTCTGCCTATTTCTGTCTAGGGCTCGCTCAAAAAGGAATTCCCCCAAAACCTGGGAGGCAGCGATGTCTGTTACTTCTGCCGCAAGCGAGTCTATGTGATGGAAAGGCTGAGTGCTGAAGGCAAGTTCTTCCATCGCAGTTGCTTCAAGTGTGAATACTGTGCGACGACTCTGCGCTTGTCATCTTACGCCTACGATATTGAAGATGGTAAGAGAAACTGCCTTTTTGTCAGAATCCTAGTAACTGTCCCGGAAGTCTGTCTAGTGATTTCAGCTCTTTCTTTGCTTAAAAATTACTTGATGAGTTACGGAACAGAGTTTTTCCCACTCATTGAGGCAAAGATGAAGTAAAAAAATTATAAACTAATATACCACTTCAGAATATTCTGCTGCAGATTGAAATGTTACAAAATTGATAGGTATCTACTGCACATACTGGGTAGAATAATGGCCATGGAAACACCATCTAGGTTTAAGGGGCAAAAAGAACCAAAAGTATGTGTTTATGATGTTTTATATAATGACTTCAAGTAGGGGGCTTGCTCGGTCACGAAGGAAGAGTTGAGGAAACTTAGAATCATCAAACCAGTGTCCCAGTAAGGAATAGGAAACTCATTATTACTTGGCTGGAAGGTCAGCAGACTTGTCATGCAGGTTTAAAGGGGCCAATGATAATTTTGAAATCGACATGTAAAAGTAACATCTCCATCTGTAATCAAAGTTGGGAATAAGCATTTTTGAGCATTGCTGTTATTTTGGGCGTTCACAAGTAACTGAATATCTGATTATATGTTTAGCCATAACAGACTGAGCCCCCTCTGTCAGCTGTATGAGCTGAAACAGTTTTTGTCACCAGATTTAGTGATTCCCTCTGCAAGCAAGCTTATGTATGCAGTTATGGCCAGATAGTTCTCAATGAAGCAAACACAAAGCTCAGATTTTCAGCACACTTACAACATTGATTCTGAAATGATATTACATGCCTAACAGTTGTATATGAAGCAGACATGGCCAAACAAATATGTTGTATCCTATGTAATAATTGTGAAAATTTGGCTTATATTTCATTCTGGGTTTTCTTTGAGGGGGAAAAAACCACAAAGCTATACACGCATTGTTGCTGTTCATCTAGCTGTTTGTACTGATGAGCATTCTGCAGTGTTCTGCAGTCAGTGTCTGGTTTTAGGCTTCAAAGTCTGAGAATTTTTATGTAAGAGCTTTTCTGTTGTTGCTCTTTTCAGACAACTGGAAAGAGCAGTTTTTGGAAAGAGTAAATATTAAGAAATGTTTATTTAATCAGAGACTTCTCGGAGGATAGCATTTGTCACTTTTCCATCATAAAACAAAGCATTGTGCAAATACCAGCCCAGAGAAACTAGAGGAAGGGGCAAAGGTCAGAATACAGGTTTGAAATGCATTAGCAAAGTTGTAGGAATAGGATAGCAGTAGGGGTTGCTACGGGCTGCGTATACCAAGCGGGATACACTGACAAAGGTACACTGGAAGATAATCATATGCCATCCATTTGCTGATATTATTACTTGTATTACGGTATTACTGGTGCTGCTTTGGCTTCCCGACAGTGTTCAGATACCCGTGAAAACCCATTTAGATTTCTGGGGTGTTACTAAACCAGCAGTATCACAAAAGGTCTTAATTGTGAAAATGAATCATTGGTTGATTGTCCTTCCCACAAGTGGCCACTGTGCATTTTTAGAGATGGTTCTTTGGGAGTTAACACTGTCCTCTCCCACTTTCCTCTGCTGGTTGTATTCATTCTTGCTTTTTCCAAAAGTGCTTCTGCCAGCTTTTCATGTGATGATTTCTTTGTTCCTCACACACTGCCGCATTGTTAGCATGTGATACCACACAAGCCTCACAGCTTTGCTTTGGTGTTTGATAGGATTTTAAGCTAAATGGCTGTCAGGCACCCAATGGAAGGGGGGCAGAGAGGAGGGCTGGAGTTAAAACTTCAGATAGCATTTGCCTCCATGTATAGTGAAGAAACTAGAGGGTGTAACAGGAGTGGCAGCAGAAAATAAGTTGCAGTGAGATGGACGTTTATATTGCGCTAAACTGCTGTGTTCTCATTGTTGACCATCATTCGTGTTTTATCCGCAGGTAAATTCTACTGTAAGCCTCACTACTGTTACCGAGTCTCTGGTTATGCTCAAAGGAAGAGGCCAGCAGTGGGTCCTCTGTCAGGAAAGGTAACTTGTTATTTTCATCTAACATTTCATGTTAATAAGTTTTGATTCTTCACATTGAAAAAGTAAATATGCTTGTTTTCTTTTGGAAAGTAGAAAAATCCAGAGTGCATCAAATTGCTTTTTTATGTTATAAGAGCTTGCAGTTCTATAAATTTTATTTAAAACCAGTGCCTTTAATTACCACTTCTCTTTTCATGGTTCTTATTATAAAATAATGTACTGTCCCATTCAGAACAGGATTTTTATTTGTTTTCTTGTCAGCTGAAATACTTTTTCAGTCCATGCAGAGACTAAATGAATAGTGTTACCAGTTTTGGTTTTGCTTTGTTTCTCCATGTTTTTTCTTAAGATGAAAAAAATTATTTGCATTTCCTTTGAAACATGAAGTTCTAGCCCACTTGCTTAGGCTATGAAGATCTTACCTCATTTCTGAAAGTTTTCTGTGTGTTAGTGGGAACCTGCGGGAAAAGAAAGGATATGCCTTTTCCTATGCTATCATAATGGAAGCATTTGTGCTTTAAATATAGGATCAAGATGCACTGTGTAATACGGGAAAGCCTCTCAGCTTTTGTCATTACAATCCAGGGCACTTAATTTTTCTCCTCAACCCCTTTTTCACAATTTTTGAATACTATGTCTAAGCAAACTACATGCTAGTCCCTTAACAAGTTCGGTTAAGCTTGCATGATGCAAACTGTCCTTCCCCTTTAAATTTTATTTTCCTTTGTGGTAGTGGTAGTGTTTGTCTTTCTGCCTGTTTCTCAGGTTTTGTTAGTACAAGCTGAAGCTGTACTCCTTTTTGGAAAGATAAGGGATCCATCCTGTACTCCCTGACAAAAATAAAGACTAAAAATGGTACTGGTTTTATTTCCCAGATGAGCAGACTTCAGGGATCTTAGTGCTTTGACTTGCTTGGATATCCAGCTTGGTTTTCAGAGCTTTAACAGGGCCATAAATTGAGAAGGAACATACTTTGTTCAGACCTTGCCTTTTGTGATGTTTAAAGGGTATCCTAATTGTAAAAGAAATATCTTCCTAGTTCAACATGTTGAGTACATATAGCCACATGTGGAAAAAAAAAGAGGCATTTTTAATTTTAATATGAATTTAATTTCCCCCACATTCTTACAGGACACCAAGGGACCTCTACAGGACGCCATGGCAAGTGATGGAAGTGGACGGGCAAATACCATCTCCGCCTCAGCAGAGAGGGCTCCAGGTAGCTCCGCTTCCTTCTTTTGCAGGGTGGTGCAGTACTCTCTCGGCCTCTTTGACAGAGTTAGGGTGGCAAGCCAGCGCCTGCAAAGCAGAGTTTCCTCGATTGGGCACCAGGTAGCCCAGAACCCCTTGGACTCCTTTTTCATGTGTCAGCTGATGGCTTTTGGGGTTCCCTTTCTCTATGTCCAGTCAGAAGTTCTTGTGCAGATCCTAGGGGAATTTTGTGGGCAACCTGCTGAGCAGTAAGAATTAATGTGACGCAACTTTATGAGCTATGTAACTCGTGTGATTTTTTTTTTTTTTTTTTTGGGGTGCCATGTGAATTTCATGCGTTACATGAAAGTCTCAATATATTACTTTGCACTGTGGCTTTGGGGCCTAGATGTTCTCAGTCCTTTCAAGAACATTATCTGAAAGAATTCCAGGAAAACACAGATGCTCAGTTGAGGGTCTTCTCTGAGTGGGCCCAGATAAAGAGCCCTGTAATGCATGCAGCTCAATGTTAGTGAACCTAAAGGTTCTGATGCACTGGAATAGCTCACAAACTGGATTTCTGTGTTTTCCTGAATTCTGGGTGTGGTTTCCTGTTCTCCCAAGCTTTTCTTCATTAATCTGGTACTTGAATGGGAAAGATCCCATTATCTCTGGATTGTGTCTCCTTTGGAATTCTGGGTGTCTGGCACCTAATGGGATTGGATTCCTTCAACCCCTTGAATTTCGTGGTGCTGGCAGGTCACGGTGCTCTTCCCTCACTGCCAGAATCTGTGCTGCTCCTGGCAATGGCTTTGGGAATGGGGTGGTGAATGTGTGTGTCTTACTGTGAAGTAGTTTTGCCTTATAACTTGAAATTCTAATTCCTTCTAACATGGGAGAAGTGTCTGTGCTACAAATGCTCGTTTGCCCTGCCCCATAGTGCTTATTTAGTGATGTCAGAAAAAGGAAAAGATTGGATTTCTAGTGTTTGTTCCATAATACTATGGATAAGCTAAATCAGCTGCTTTTAGAGAGGGAACATACTTAGATCAACACTTTGAAATAAGAATGTTTTCACAGTGGCAATTGAGAAAAAGACCTTAACAACATGCAGGCAAATAAAAATCATGCTTTTGTTTGACTTTACTCACTTCATACTTACAAGTGTTTCTAAGATTGTAACTGAATGCAATCTGACAAATTAATTCTTGAAGTGTAGTTACTTCCATGGTTTCCTCTTTTCTTTGTCTGGATTTTTCCATACGGCAAAATGGAGGAAAGGGAAAAAGTATGGAAGAATGACATTTGCACAATGCTGGGGACAGATGAGTGGAAAAACATTTCTTGGAGCACAGAGCATCTGATATGAGAATAAGGTGGTTTATAGACTGAAGCTATTGGTGATGAGAAGTGGAAGAAGAAGAGTTTAGCTATATATAACAATTAGTTTATCAAAGCAATTGCCGGCAGAAAGTCTCCTTCCTCTGATTTAGTACTTCCAACTGATCAAATTTAATTACTCACTTTTATAAATGAGCATTCAGTAAATAGCATCTAAGTGATCACTAAGTAGAGCAAACAATAGGCCATAATTTTCTGTAAACTAATATAAATCAGATATGAGATATAAATCAGATGTTCCCATCTCTCCTTATGTAGTGGTGGGACAATCCTGTAGCAGAACTGTAGTGCTTTCAGAGGAGAAAAACAGAACAGGCATCATTTTATCAAATGGCAAAACTTGAAATCTAGGGCTCCTTCTGTTTGCTTTCTGCTTTTCTAAAGCAGTGTCTAAATGTAGCATAATTTATAAAGCTTTTGGACCTTGTAAAGCTTTGCCTCTTGCAGTGCCCAAAGTACATTAGGACATACTCAGCTTAGCTGGGTCAAGCTAGGTCACCTTTAAGGCAGTGTGTTGTGGTGCGTTCTTGTGTGTGCATGACAGAAATACGTTTAATGGTAGAACAGTGAGCAGTGCCTCTGCTATTTTCCCTCCTTTAGGGGCATTTCTTTCTGCCATTAGTGGCTGAGATTTTGTTTTCTTTGTACATCTTAAAATACTGGCTTAAAAATGGTTAAGAAGCAGGAGGGTAAATGCAATGTACTTTAAAAACAAGCCACAGTGTCATTAAAGGCAGGTCAGTTCTCTGTTAGTGTAACAGTCATGTCCTGTAGGTACCTGCCTTTAGCTCCTGTTCCTGCTGGGTAGGTAGGTCAGGAAACCTGTCATGTATTTATAGTTATATATGGTTTGAAAAACCAAACCCCGTTGAATTACCAAGCTTGCTAATATAGGGGAAGAATAGGTTATTTTTCCTGATTAATCAAAAGGAGTCTATATGTTGACATGTCAGTATAACTCCTGACTTTGAATTATATTACGTATATGCTTTCTTGCAATTTATTAAATTGTCTGTTTAAGAGATTACAGACATTCTGCTTTCACTGTAGACAAATACCTCGAGCAAAAACCTGTCTGAAATGGAGATAGAGATAGAGCTCTGTTTCCAAGGCTTCACTTCACCCATCTGGTAGATGCATCTAATACAGGTCATATATCTGAAAATACTTGACCTCCCTTAAGACAAGTGCCACCAAATGAAATCTGGCAATATCAATTTCAGACCTTGAGGTCTGAGCCAATCCTCAGTAGTGAGGTAGATCTTGATGTGGACTGTAAGTTGCCTCTAAAATGATTAAGTAAAAAAATAAAGGTGTAACATGCACAGGTTTGATATTTGATGGAAGTGTAAAGATAGCCTAGAAGGAAAAGGAAGGTATACAGCAGAAACATCAATTAAAGAATATACAAGACAAAAAATCAGCTGGTTTTAAATTTTATACATCTTAGTTAAATTCAGCCCTGAGTTAGCAAAATTGCTTGTTCAGTGAGCTTGGTGGTGACTCATGCAAGGCCTGCTTTTTAGTTGCCATGGAATCCCAAATGGGTGTAAATTGCATGGGTTCTCCCCCTACACTCACTGCCTCATTTGCTCTACCACCAAATCTGGCCTCTTCTTTTTTTAGCCAGCTTAATGCTTAAAATACATTCAACCACAAAATACTATTCAGCAGGTTTGGTCAGCTGAAGTAAGATTGGTCACAACAAGCACTTTCTTGTGATGTGTTACTAACCTGATTGGCATGTATTAATTTTGCAAAAGATGTCAGTCCCTCGCTGGGTGGCTGCAGTCCTAGCTGGCGTTTAAAGTGTTTTGTCTGTCCTTTGTATTGCAACCATGATAGTTGCAGGGCACAATCTGTGATAAGCAAGTTAAGGGGTTTTTAGCAGTCAACTAGAATCACCCTTCTGGGTTTTGTCTGGTTTGCTAGAGAGCCTGCATGATATCTTATGTGGTGATTACAAGGGATGTTCCCAGGGAGGCTATGGTCAAACTGACTCTTGCAATATAGGTCAACCCTTCAGTCTGGGAAGTGGCAACAAGCTTTTGAGTGATGGATGCCATTCTCTCCGGGGAAGGGAAATCGGGGAAAGCTGTTACTGTGCTTTTGGTTCTGCTGAACTGTGGCATGCTTGTCGTAGACTCTGTAACCTTTCTCTGTACCCAGTCTGCCTGTTTTCCCTCTCTTTTCTGCATTTGCCTTTGTGCCAAAATTGCTGCTATTGCCAAGAGAAAAAAAAAAAACTTTGCTTTTCAACTGTCTCTCCCTTTGACAATCTGTAACTGCTATGTCTTAGATTTTTTTGAATATGATTTACAGTACTTTACATGGTTTTAATGTGCTTTGAATGCAAATGCTATTCTTCTGTTTGTTCTAAAGGTCTGTAAGAACATATTTCTGAACTTTCAGCTCTTTCTTGACAGATGGACTTGGAACAGTCTTTACCCCTATCAGCTTTATGATATGCTCCTGTGGGTGACTTTAGCCAGTAATTTTTAGTTGTAAGGTGTTTCCTATTTCAGGCTTGTATTCTGACAGCTGTAAGTTTCTGTCCCTAATGGCAATAGGGAGTTCATAAAGGAAAGACCTGCTAGGGAAACTCATACTTCAAAATGTACAGCAATAAAAGGCAAGTAATGAGATCTTTGCAGTAAGATTTAAGAAGCCAAATATAAGCCATAGTATGCAAAACTGAAAAATGCAATACAAAGTAGAGACACTGGGTCTCCTGCTTTAAAATCACAAAAATATATAGTGTATATGATGTAGGTATGCAATATGAAAAGTTAAAAATCCTCCTATGGATGTGCCTTAAGTGTTTTCAGGGAGCAGTGTTCTGAGCAAAGCCCTTCACAGTAGACTCTTAAACAAGCAACCTGTTGTATATAGCAGGCAAAACTCGACTTTACATAAGGAAGTTCTTTTGCTCACTTGGATAGCTAGAAAAGGGTGGCTGCTTCCTCTAAATGTCATGCCCTTTAAAGTAAATTATCTGAGCCACATTTTCAAAAGGATCTTAACTGTCTGTATAATTTTAATTAATCTTTATGAATGGATTCAATATTATTTGCACACAAACCTACTTCTGTATCTAATGAAGTACAAATACATTTTATATATAGTTCTGCATAGAAATACGCTTCTTGTTCAAAACCATTGCCTCTTTATGGTTCTGCATATATTGAACATGTCTTACTTGTGAAAGCGATTCAGCTCAAAGTGATACTGTTTGCTTGTGCAAACAAACATCTCCATGAATTCTTCCTCCTGGTCACTTCATTATTATTCACACTTAGTTTCTGTTCTTGTTTTCATTTGGTCTGTTTAAACATTAAATTACAGAAGACAGCAGCAAACTAATTCTGTGACATTGTGTTCTGTTTGTGGTGCCCTCATTTTAAACCACTGAACTGTGCATTTACAAACATATCCATATCTGTCCCCTACCATACCCCGCCCCCCAAAAAAAAGAAAAGAGAAAAAGAAAAAAAATAGTACATCCATATTTCAGGATGCACCACCAAACTGGGAGGAAATGTAATTCCTCTACTACTGTGCCTTGAATGTTGTCCGTTCTGTTTGGAGGAGCCGTGGTGGTGTGTTTTGCAGGACATGGCACATGAT